CACGGAGCAGGAAATTATAGCAAGGATCATAGTTAGGTGTTTTCCATCCACAATAGCCTTCGAGGAAAGAAAATCCATAGGCTTTTCTATTTTCTACATGAAAGCAAACCTATGCTTTTATGATATACACTTTGGACACAGCTTTTTGTTTTCATATTGAAGTGAAAATAACCATATAGTTCTATACCTTTTTTCCATTGCAAAACTCTGTTATTATTTATTTTCATTCATTCATTCATCCAATAAATGCTTAGTGAGTGACTACTATTTGCCAGGCATTCTTCTAAGCATTGGAGATAGACCAGTGAACAAAGCAGAGGTTGATACGTGCTATGAAAGGCAATAAAGCAGAAATGAGTAGGGAATCGGAGGTTATTTTTTATAGGCCTCTAATAGTAAAGAAATATTTGTGCAGAGACTTAAAGGAAGGAAGGAGTAAGTCACACAGACATGTGGGAGAAGAGCTTTCTAGACAGAGGAAACACCCAGGGCAAAGACCCTGAGACAGGAGCAAGCTTTGAGGATACTTTTGGTGAAGGAAGGGGCAATGTGGCTGGAGCAAGGTGAACTAGGGAAATAGCAGATGAGGTCAGTGAAGTGGTAGTGGAGGTTGGGTATAGGGCAAAGGGTAGGTCAGATTAATTAGGGCCTTATAGGCCATTGTAAGGATGTTGACATTCTGAGTTAGAAGGAAAGGCATTGAGGACTTGAGCAGAAAAGTGGCATAACTTGGTATGTTTTAAAAGTGTCTTCTCAGACAAGAAGTGGCATGGGCTCATATCAGATTCTGGATATATTCTAAAGATAGGACAAACAGTATTCTTCTTTTAATGGTTAGGATGTGGTATGCGGAAGAGAAAAATTAAGGATAACCACAAGATTTTCTGGTTTGGAAGAGTGGAATTGCCCTTTACTGACACACGGAGTAGGATGGTGTAATGGGAGTAAAATGGTGGGTGGGGAGAAAATTAGTTTTGGACATGTCAAGTTTGAGATACCAGTTACACATCCAAATGAAGATGTCAAGTAGGAAGTTAGACATGTAAATCTGATGGTCAGGAAAGAGGTTAGCGATGGAGATAAAAATGTGTGTATTGTCAGTATATAGATGGTTTTTAAAGCTCCAAGACTGGAAGAGATCACTTAGAGAGGGGATGTCCAGTGCTGGGCACTCCAGGAACTCAGTGAAGGAGGCTGAGAAGTGGCCAGAGAGGTGAAAGAAGAACATGAGAGGCATGTCCCAGAGCAGAGAAAGTATTTCAGGAAGGAAGGCATTATTAACTGTCAAAGACTGCAGAGAAGTCAAGCAGCCTGAAGTCACAGACATGACCATTGCATTTGAAAGCATGGAGATCACTGGCGTCCTTAGCAAGAGCTGTTATGGTAAGGATGAAAGCCTGATTTGAGTTGGCTCAAGAGACCAAGGAAGGAGCGGAATTGGAGACAGTAAGGATACACAACTCCATCTGGGGAGATTTTCTGTGAAAGGGAGCAAATAAGTAAGATGGTAGTTAGGGAGGGCAGTGGGACCAAGGAGGGTGTTTTATAAGATGAGAGACAGTAGCATGAATGTAGTGAAATTTTCCAACAGAATGGAAAAGTTGGTGATGCAGGAGAGAGGGCGAGAGTGTTGCAGCAATGGCCTTTATTTGGTGAGGTTGGATGGGATCTTCCTAGAGCAAAGGGGAAGAAGTGCCTGCCATCACTTGGGGAGCTAGTGTAGTAATTGGTAATGATAAGTCACATGGGTCAAGATCAGGACACTGAGAAGCCAGGGTATTTGTAGGATTGTCTAAGCAGATATAGAAATCACCAAATATGAAGAGAGGGTGGTTTTGGAGATAGTGACAGTGAGCCAAGAGCTAAAATACTTAAGCAATGATGAGGAGTGACTGAAGGTAACAAGAGACTTTAAAGCTGATGGCAAGAATGTCAAAGCATTGGGTATTGAGGAGGAGGGAGGGATAATATTATGGAAGTGGCAATGAGGAACAAGCAGGCGTCCTACTACCATTAATGTTTTATTATTCACATTTTGACAGAGAGAACATAAAATAATATATTCCAGGGTGTGGCAGTGACTGTATGGGAAAACCGTGGCTTAGAACGCACCAGATCATTTCCAACTGCTGCTTGGAACAGCTGTAGACAACAATAACTGAAGGTTTTTTGTATGCAGGAAAAAAAAAACTACTTGAAAGTAACCAAAAGGTTCAGACTAGAAAATATGCCAAGAAGATTTTCTTCTTTTACATTCTGACACAGGTGAGACTCCTCCAGTTTCAGCACATTTTTGACAATTTAAAACACTTTAGGAAACTGGAGATTTAAACAACATAAACACTTGTAGGCATAGCAAAATGATAGTTTTCCCTTCCAATATTATAAACTTGGCATCTCTACACTTATGTTAACATTGTAAATAAGACAGCTAAAATGCACAAAAACAGTTTCACAACATCCAATTTTAAAATTCATCCAAGCTGTCATCCTTTTTTCCTGCTGCAGATTTATTTCTTGCTGTCACCTAACATTTGAAATTCTGATTCAGGATAACGTCTGAGGTTTTTAAATAAACCATAATATAGTATTATCATTCCTTAACACTAACCCCAGGGAAAGAGATGAGGAAGGGGACATTGGGGCATGGATATTTGCTATATACAAATAATGATCCACTGCTGGAAATGAAAACTCACCTTTCCACCAGCATTTGCTCAGCCTCAACAGTACAGTGCAACTCGGTGCTGATAAAAATAAACCATCAAAACCAAACCCTATCACGCAAGGAGTGGAGTTAGTTTGAAGATGTCTACACAAAGCCAAATCTGGAAACTTTGGAACATTTCTAACTATATTTTCTAGTCTTCCTCTAAATGTTTGGCATCATGGACACAGAGTCCAAGATTTTGATCTAGATTTAAAATATCTCAAAACTTATCCAGGGACTTTTGTTTTAAAAATGCTTTTATGAGGATTTTTATTTTGGAGTATTCTGTCTCTTTCTGGAATGGTAGGCCTAGAAGGACATGTAAAGTTCAAAGCAGAGAGTTATGGTCTCCTATTGTTTAATGCTGTGCAGATTTTTGACTATTCTAATTTCCTATGGAAAAATTCCCTGAACAATGATACAGTATGGAAATCAAACAACATTAGAATATGTTTAGTAGAAATGTACAAATGGTCAGTTTTGAACTTGCAAATTCTCAGGAGGTTTTCTTCTTTGCTGGGACTTCTGAAGAGATCAGTTTATACTCATTTTGAGACCCATGAATGAACAGCCCACTCGAGGCTTCCTGATACTGCTATACTGGTCAAGGTCAAAATATAGTGGCATTTATGAGAAATATTGGCAGGTAAATGAAATCGAATTTGGACTTTTGGATTTTATGTTGTAATTATGTAGTCTCAGGGGAGGTCTGTTTTGGGTTTGTTTGTTATACATCGTTAGATTTGGTTAGGTTTAAATTTTTGAGGAATGAAAAGTCACAAGGAACTAACAAGTCACAGAAACTGTTGAGATGGTCAGGACACAGTATCAGAGGGGATTTGGGAATATCGGGTGCAATTCATTCAGAATTGTCATCAGCGTGTTGTGGATATTCTCCTGTTTTCCTCCAGTAGATTACAAAAGTTTGCTCAGTAGTTGTATCTTCTGTCTTAAAAATAATGTAGCACATCTTTTAAAGCAATCGGCACAAACGCAAGTGACGCTTGTTCAAGCAGACTTTCAAAGACAGCACACACTGTTAACACAGAGAGCTCTTCCACATTTCAAGAATACAGTGACGGGAAGTGCAACACATAATAGTAGGGGAAATATGTATATTTTTTAACTTCATGGAATGTGAGGTCAGACTTCAGCGGCTTCCTTGTCTGGCAATGGACAAAACCAAAATAGCTCTGGCCTGAATTTCACATCTTTTTCTAACCTAATGCACGGAAGGGACCAGAGACACCAATTATCAATGAGTCACAAGAGCAGACAGAAAACTGTTAGTAGGTCTTGACAACCAGGAATCAGGATGTTTTGTAAAGATGTGTACTTGATGCAAAGTATGTAAGGAGTATATCTTAGAAAGCTAACACCTGTCAATGTGTTAGAAAAATGGCGTCCCTGTCCAAGTGGCCTTGTGGGATTTCATCAGTACCTTAATCCACACTGCTGCAATAGCACTAGGGCTTCTTGAAGCATTGTTTAAAAGTCTTCAAGAAAAATGAGATCTATTTAAATAGACATTAGACTTTGTGTGGAACTTAGTGCAAGATGTCTTTATTTATATTGTGTGCAACGACAATGGTCTGAATACAACTGGCATAGGGAGGACACTCATCATTTGAAGGGATCTTATAGGTCATCTGTTCCTACCTCCCACTGGATGCAGGAATCCTTGCTCCAATGTTCTGGACTGGCACCTAGGAATGATGGTCACCTACCAGACCGTGGACTTAAACTATGGTGTGGGCAGACCCACCCAGTGGATTTTACTGCATGATTATCAATTCACAGCAGCAAGGACTGAAAAGATCTAGTGAAACTTACTTAGGGGGAGGGCTCAGTTTCTCTTTGTAGGAAAATAAAGATAAAATGAGCCAGTTCTAGAAACAATATCTCCTACAGGAAGAACTAAAACTAAAAACTGAAACTAATCAGTTTCAAAAACTAGTTTTAAAACTAAAGAAACTTTTATTAGGATGGATGAAAAGCACAAACCTCCACCTGCCAAAAAAAAGAAAAAAAAAAGAACTACGGAAACCAAAAAGTTGGGAATTGTTACGAGCTACAAGAACAGCATTCTGAAATATTTTGCATGACCTAGACCTCAGAATGTCAGGGCTAGGGCTTGTTCTGATGGAGGAAAATATATTTTTGAAGATAAAAGCTTCAAAGAATTCTTTAGATATCTTTTAAGGAGCACAGATTTGTGGGGGGCCCTTTTAAATTTGGTTTTGCTTTGTACTCAGTGTAAAATATCTGTACAAAAATATAAAGTCATGGCTTGATGTTTAACGTCTGTGTTTTATTGTTGTTGGCACCAGAAAAGCTCATGTTCTATGTTATGTCACTGTACATACTGTAAACAAGACTGCATTAATAGTTTTATGAGTTTTTGTTTCAATGAATCTAGATTTTAAAAAATACATTCACAAACTACCTTATGTTTAAACACAATGATTCCCTTTTATTTCTTAACTGTACCCAAAATCCCACAATAAAAAAATCATTTAAAGCTGTGTGTTTCAAACTTATCACTTAGAAATAAAAACAAAACAAAACATAAAAACAAAGATCAATTTGCAACATAATTTAAAGAAGCTTCTGGTTTAAAATACCACAGCAGCAATATAAAGAGCTGGTGGCAATCACATTTGGGGATGAGTCTCAATTCAATATATTTTGTCCATGTCAGTATTCAATTACAGTAGTTGATAAATTCAATCCCAAAAGTTATTGTGGAATTTGTCGCATGGAACTTGTGAAGATAGTATTGTTCAGCAGCAGAACTACAGCAGTAAAAATGAGAACGAGAGAATTTCATTGCTTTTGAGAGCTAAAGGGACCATGATGAGGACATCTTGGTGATCGCCTGAAGATAATCCTCAATTCCATTCCTGTGTGTTACCAGCTTAAAATAAATGCAAATGACAATCACTTTTACAGGAGGGGCATAATCATCTACTTCAGAAACTAGAATGCTTCCCCTTCCCTTCTCCCCCTTGCCCAAACCACCAGATTCAAATAGCTCCATTTTCCTAATGTGTGTTTCGTTCTCATTAATAGTACATCAGCTGCTTATGTATTTAAGCAAAATTAGTAGGATGGTAGGGTTTTTTTTGATCTTTCCTGTAATTGTTTTCTTCAGAAATAAGCCACATTAGTTTTTGTTGTTGTTGGATTCTTTTTTCAATTTTTCAAGAAGAACAATTTGGTCAACTACTGTTTTTTTTTTTCTTTTTTTTTTTAAATATTAAATACTCCTGAGATTGCCAGTTGAGCTCTCTATATGTCTCCTGGAGATAACACTGCTGTGATGAACAGTGAAACAAAAACAAACAAAACGAGGTAGGTTAAAACAGGAAGCGCAACACAGATACTGTTTTGCAACACCTCGATACCACAGGCGGCCATGCTTGTAGCTTTGGAAAAAAAATCCAGACAGTCACGTAGAAGTTCAAATCATCCGAGTAAGAGTTTATAAGGACACAAGTCAACCTGAAGTAAATACATACATATCTCTGCACAAATGTTGTTTACCGTATGTTGGGTAATTTAGAGGAAGGTAAAATGATTAGGGTCTTGGAATTTTGGCCAAAGCCTTGCTTTCGAGTTCTATAAAATCTGAACCAATGATGCCTGCTGTGTTTCAGGCAGGCATAGTAGTCTAGGTCCCTTCTCTCACCAACCCAGAGAGAACACAGGCAGCTCAGAAACATTTATTATTTTTTTTCAGTCACAGTTTTCATCTTGAGAAAGTGGCACCTTCAGGAGAAAGCTGGGAATGATCAGAGCCTGGATGTCCTTCACTCCCCAACTCCCAGAAAGAACTCAACAGTCTCACTCCTAATGAAGTCCGAACCGAGTGACCTCTCAGCTGGGAGGCTTTGAGCATTTAAAAAAAGAATGTGTACATATCTGTGTTTTAGCTTGTTTCCCAGAAGCTCTTTCTGTCTGACCCCATCTGTCATCCCATCTTTTGCCCTGATCTGTTGCATCATAGCTGAGGGAAAGTTGTGTTATGGAGTCCCTCAACTGCGAGAGCCAACTCAACTCAATGGGACTACTCTCCCATTCAACACACTCCGTTCTGTGCAGGGCCATATAAATAGGGCCTGTCAGACTCACAAAAATGGTAGTTGATTTTATTAGTCTAAGGCTAGTAGTTTAGCCATTTAAAATCTATTTTCCCAAAGAGGGGAAAACTAGTATTTTTCTTCTCTTTTAAAAATCCATTAGCCAGTTGCTATCAAAAAGCAACCTTTTGGGTTGGTGAAGGCAAAAGAGTTCTAAAATTACCCCACGATGCAGTTATGGCCTTCAGGGTAAGGAGATAAGGTACATTTATTGTGCTGTCTCTCACCGTTTGAAATTGGAAACTGTACAACATATTGTAAACTTAAAGCGAGCAGGCAGACAGAATTAAAAACAGACTCATTTTCTCCATATGCATTCTCTCCCCATTCTTACAAAGTAAGGGGGTAAAGAAAAAAGGTAAAAAACTAAAACAAAACAAAACTCAAAATCCACCATAACACAGCTTAATCATAAGAGCACACAATATTTGTTGCTATCCCTAACTCCGAAGGGCACATGGTCCATCTTTGTCCACAGACAACGCAGCATTCTTGGGATCTCCTGGAAATTCCTGCCACCTTTTTCTCTCCTTCTCAACCAGGCTGCAATATTGAAAGATGGACTGTATTGGGACGGGTGGAGGGAGAGGAAAAGGGGAAAGTGGTATGTTCAACCAAGCCTTCTGATTCTGCCTCTAGACTGGCATAAGTCCACATGAGTTATGTTCTTTTAAATTAGAAATAACGCCATGAAGATAAGTGCCAAGTGCTCTTCTGTTACCAGTTCATCATGGAATTTCTGTTGAGGGTCATGAAAAACACTTGGCTACTTCCTCCAGATCGCACGGATGCAAAAAATACCTGTTTGAAATTAAAAAGAAGTTAGTTCAACTGCATGGTTTCTTTCCCTCTTTTCTTCAATTGTCCATCCTTTTTCTCTCACATGTCCTATCCTTGCCATGTGTCAGCTCTTAAGACTCAATGGCTGGTGTTTATAAAGTGCCTTTTAATACAGTGCATCCTCTGTAAACACTCCTGCCTTTATTACTATGATTGTTACTATTACTTATGTGGTATCAGCCTTCAGGGACATGGAAGGGGCTATATGTTGATTTGCAACATCCCTTTGGGTGCTCACATTTTAGAAGGGAGTTTTGTGCTAGGATAATGTGCTGGATTTCTGGCCTAACACACAGGTCCTTTGTTAATTTCTGAAAAGCCACAGAGGCTCCCCTCTCTCCCTCATAATGACAAGAGGGCAGCGTTTGGGATTGAAGAGAATCCTTTCAAATTCCAAGAGCCAAGGGGGAATTTTGGGCCTACTGACTACTATACAACTTCAGTTCTCATTTTAAAATTAAAAAAAAAAATGGTTGTGGTCAGATTAATGCCTATTCACTTTGGCATTTCAAGAGTTAATGCTTGGATTCTATACTGATGCAGGCATATCCTAGGCCAAAGGAGATAATGGCATTAATAAGCAGAACCACGATCCATTAGGTCTGGGTCTGTTAAACCATTTTATTAAACTGAGAGAAGTGAGCAAGATTTGGGTTATTGCTTGCTTGAGAAGAATGTCAATGAACCACTGCCCTAGGAAAGTAATATCCTGGGCTGTGGCCTAGCCCTTAAGTCAGCCAACACCAAACTTTGGTTCAAGGCATTTACTTTTGTCACTAGTATAAAGTCTCTGCTACTTCACTTCCAAAACTTCTTCAGAAGAATGCTGTCTCTCCCAACAACTTCTTAGGAAGTTCTGTGGAAATTTATGTCATTCAGCTAATGCTACATATGTAAGTAAAGCTACTATTAGGATCAGTGAGTCAAATGGGGAAGCACAGAGGACCCATGGAAACACAATGAGGGAAAGAAAGGGCCGCTCTTCTCTCCAAGTTGTGTGCCCCCTGGGCTTTAAACCTTGGGGCCCAAGATACTGGTGTGGTCCCAGTCTGCTCCTGAGGGTGTGGGCATAGCTTGGAACAGGCTTGCTGAGGTGGGTCTTCAATGAACTGGAGTGGGGGTCAATGCCAAGATCACTCCTAGTCTTATGATCCCCAGAGACTAGGTGAGGGCTGGAGTTTTACTAGGACTTAGGTCTGTTTCCTGGCATACTCTGGGTAAGGCCCTGGAATCATCCTTGCCACCCCAGCTGTTGTCCACCCAGAGCACACTAGGTTGGCCAGGGTTGAATCTAATCTAGACTTATATCTCCAGGATTGGACTAAGACCAGACTGGCTTCTGGGGAGCCAGGTGGACCAAGAGATGTACTTCTGTTCAACTCATCACATTCTTTTGTATAGGTGTTTATGTCTGCTGTTTGGGGTCAGCATTTCTAAGTTGGACATAGTCACAAAGGATGAATTCACAAATGCAGTACAGCTTAGCTACTGAAAACTCTGGGCTAGTCTACAAGGAGGGCAAGGGAGCAGCAGCACTGCTGGCGAACACCCTTCTGAGGCGACTGATCATGCCAGACGGACGCCGCCAATTTCACTGGAAAACAGTCCCCCTTTGACACTGCAGAAGAAACATGGCTGGAATGGCATAGGGCATGGCACTAGTTGAGTTTGCGACTGTGCATTCCTTAAGGAATGGGTGACGTTTTTTAAAAGTTTATATTTCTACATGTCAAATGTTTTACATTTAAAGGTGCATTATAATGTGATGGGTTAGGTCCTGAAAGTGACTTTGTGAAAAGTCTCAAAGTGGAGTATAAAGTTGACCCACTGTGAGATGATTAATGATGGGCCAACTTTTCTAAGTGCTTAGGAGAATTTGGGGTGTCTGCTGAGTCATCATAAGGCCTGCAGGCCGCCAAAGTTACTAAGAGTTTACAATAAATTTTTAGATGTTTCTATGTCTTTTTTGATATGTGAATAATATATTTTGAGGGTTCACATGAATCAAACCAAATAATGCCATTTCAAGATACTATTGATTATTTTAACATAGATGTGATTTGAATCAGTAGAAAGGAAAAATGAAGGTTTCACAGGTACCTGGTGGTCTCTTAAAATGCAAACACTAATGCAAATGTTGAAACGGATTTACCTTATCATTTCTTTCACATAGAAACTTTAACCTTTGAGCTCGCTTATGCATAAATACTCCATCCAAATGTCCTGTTTCCACTGACCGGATCTCAATAGCTTTCTCGCCCCAGCCCATTATCTGATTGGAATGAATGTAGGCTGTCAAAAGGAATTTCCAAAACTGCATTAAAAACATTAGATGGGCAATAACTCATAGCATCTGTTCACATCTTAACCACAAAAATGACAAACGACTTGAGATAAACAGACAAAGCAAGTCTTACAAGTGTTATTCACAGACTTTTTTTTTTTTTTGTGGAATCAAATGGTTGTTTCACATTTCTTGACTTTCGTTTCATTTGGGGGGTGTAACTGCTGAAGGAGATAAGGAATGGTTAACCTACCCACAGACGTGGGCATTTCTCCCCATTGGAGCACCACATCCTTAGTTATCCGGCCGTAGGTGTTTACATACACCCCCTCATCCTCATAGCAAACAAGCATTTCCATTCCATCTGTTTTAGGCAAGATGACAATGGCATGAGGAGTGATATTGCCCTGAATCTAGAAGACAAAGAAAGACCAGACATTATTCTTTTAAAAATAAGAAGGCATCTTTACTATTAGTCTCTAGGAATTGCAAAAAGAGGTGGTTTTTTTTCCTTCCTATTTTCACTTTAGAGACTGACTTTTTCTTTTGCTTAATTTAACCACCAACCTGTCAAATACAAACTTAAGCACTAGGTCGAGAATCCAGTTTACCTATTCCTAAAAACAACAACTATAACTATGGAGCATCTCCTATGTGCCTAGCACTGGGCCCTTTTCATACATAATTTCCAGTCCTTAGAACAGGTCCCCACAGTGGATATCTTTGTGGATGAGGCAACTGTGTCTCAGAAGGGTTGTGTAACTTGACCAAAGCTGCACTAGTGTTTTTTGGTAGAATTGGGATTTGAGCACATGTCTTGTGAGCGCTGAAAATCGCATGTTTTCCATCTACTTCAAAAAAAGACAAGGAGAATGCAAACCAGCTGAATCTGATAGAGAGAGCCTAAGTGGGGCCAAAATGGACTCTTATCAAATAGGCTATGAGCATATAACACAGATTGTTTAGCTGGGTGCCAAAATAACAGAATAATCTAAATTAATGCCTTGTTTAGAAAAAAAATTAAAATTACCACTCATTAAAAAAATACTATGGGAATAAGTGTAAATTGGCTTGTTCTAGGAACAGAGATGTGGTGCAGCTGTGCTCCCCTGGTTGTGAATGTCGCGGCAGTCCACTAGGTGCTTGCTGGATAGGATGAGAGGATCAAGGATGATCACAGTGATGCCCCAGTCACCTCATGGAGAAAACGAGCTGGGAGTCCTGTGTGCACATACACACCCGGGTGAAAAGCTGCAATGCAGCAATGAATGATGTGTGTGAGAGAGAGAGGACGTGCGTCATGAACTAAAACAACTGTTTTCAGTTGTTGTGCTTCTTCGGAGGGAAGTCTTTAAACTCTCAAAATACCAATCAGCAACAGATTATGCCTCAGACTTTCTTGATAAATAGTTTCCATTGAATGTTAGCCTTGGGATTACATACAGGAAACATAATTTACACTGCACCAATCCTACTAAGTGAAACCACGTGCAGTATTTCCCTTTAAAAGGCATGTTTTAGGCAATGTGTCAGTATAGTAATATTAATACTACAATACGCAGGGCCCTGTGCCAAGTACTTAATGCTGATGATAACCCTAAGGGATAGATCCTTTAATCCCCATCTTACAGATGTGAAAGCTGAGGGTTGGAGAGGCTACCTCATGTGTCCATTATAGCAAAGCAAATATACGCTAGAGCCAGGGTATGCGCTCCACTGTTTTTGATTCTACCACACGGCACTCCCTCAAGTTGAAGAGAGGATCAAAAATAGTAGAAAAAGGACCATTGGCTTTCTCCCACATCAGATGAACCAATCTCCCTTCAAAAACTGAAAATAGGAACTCATCTATTTCACTCGTGCTTAAAAAACAGCATTTATGCCCTTGAAGGAAAAACATCATATGTATTTTAATCTAAAGTCCAGTGAGACAACATATCCAATAAATGGCAAATAACTGCTATTATGTGTTACCCAGTTTTAAGCAGTCATAAAAATTAGTTAAGTTTACATGTTTTATTTCTAAAAAGCATTGTCTATTTAGTGAAAGCCAAAAGTCCATCTACTTTACTGATTAGTAAAAGTTAGCATGACTTCCATTAGAAATGTACAAAAGCAAAATCTCTTTGTATGTTCAGATTGTTGTACAAAGAGCCTTGACAGTCTGCTTCCAGGAACTTACATGAGATGGTATGTAGATATCATAAGAGTTTCCTGAATCAACATCAATTACATGGAAACCAGTGTGTGAACCAAAAATAACCTTTAATCTTTGACCTTCTTCTACTGTGAGATCAACAAGCAGTGGCTTGTGCTGGAGATCTGCAAAAGACTTTAAAAATCACCCCATGAGTGTCCGCATCATTCAGAGAGGTTATCTTAATTTTTCCCTTTAGCTATTGCCTGATGGAAGTTAATGTCTGGCTTTCTTAAACTGAAAAGCTAGGAAATTTCTCTTTCAAGGTTAGGTCTATTCATGTTCTGGTTCTAGAAGGAAGGGTCTAGTATCCATTTGTGCCCCTTTCTCCACCCCTTGTCCTCCAGGACAGAGAAGTTGGTTTACAGTTGTCAATTTTGACAGTGTCATCATATATTAAAAACTTGCTACCTGGTGCTGCTGTTCTTTCCTGTTTATTTCTGGCCTTTTCCCTCAGAAGAGGGTCTAGTCACCTCTCTGGCCCCTCTCCTTCCCATGTGACATGCATGTCTGTCACCTTTTCAGAGACAGCCTGGGTGGGCAGTCGGGCCAGCTGCCTGTTCAGAATTAATGGGCATGCTCTGATTCTGATTTTCCTTCAGTGAGTGAGCAGGCATAAGACAGGCACTTTCTCTAAACTTAATGTTGAGATCTGAGACTTGGGTTTGGGCAATAGAGACGGAGGGTAGGGGTGGAACATCTCAAGACTCATGACTTACATGAGCTAGCTGGGTTTAACTAGAGAGGAAGAAAAGAGAGCTCCAGCCGAGTTTATCAAGGTTTTCTGTGTTTGAATCTGGGGCCTAGCTGTCAAGTGTTCCTCTGTGTTTCTCTGCCATTATTTAATCCACACTCTACCTTTATTGGGCCTTGAAGTTTAGGAGAGAATTTGTGAAACCACAAATGCCTCGGCTATAATGCCACTGCCACCAAACAGATCCCTCCCTCCTCATCTTTTGCTAACATCAGTCTCAGAGTATGGGAGGCTCTAGCCTCCTATCCTTGTCCTATGGGAGGGCTTGAACACCTGCCAACTTGTCTTTCCTGTTCAAGTCCTTGCCTTTGCTCTTCCTCCTTTCCAGGCTGGTCGTGGTCTGCTGAACAAAGCATTTTGCACTCTCTCATGCACTTTGGCTAGTAAACTGATGGCGGTAACTTCAGAACTGGAATGGGGATGGAATCTTGATTGAAAAGCTTTTGTGGAGAGAGATTTTGGCAGAACAGCAGCACCACTTTAGCTTTTAGGAGTCATCCCTTAAGTGTTATTACTAACCTAATGCATTCCAAAAGTTTCTCTCCATAAAAGTGGGGGTTATGGAGGGGAGCCCATTTCCATTGATGAATCTATCTTCCTGAACACATCACAAATGAGCCTCTTGAGCTAAGGGAACAAGATAGAAGTGGGGTGACTCAGCCCTGAAGAGAGCCTCATAATGTTCCCAAGGCAGCTTCTGCCCTCACATGGCATGTGTGGCAAGAAAGAATATATACAAGGTCAAGGGAGATAAGAGTCACCAAGGTGGGGAGACAAAGCGAGGGCCAAGGAGATATAAACAAAGAGAGAGACACAGGCAGAAGGAGAGAGTGAACAGAGGACAAATTCACATTGGTTATGATAGACTATGCAGCTCTGAAAACATTGGAGTGCCTGCTAGTACTGGTCCTTCTGGCATTCTGGGGTCAGCTGTCATGAGCGGGGATCAACGGGACCAGCATATCCCCATCCTACTTCTGATGAATCTCATAAGTGATCAATCCAACTATGGTGGGTACAGACTCAGACAAGGTCAAATATGAAAAAGTGATCAAAACTGAAGAATGCAGAGAAACTAGGCCATTTCCGTATGTGACTCCATTCAGTATTCATTTCAGAGACGTGAATAGCATTGGAGATATATGAGCATCAAGTGAGTTTTGGGGACTTTACCCCATAAAGCTTAGGAGGATTACAAGATTTAGAGACTCAGTTCCACCTTCAGATTCAGTACTGCTGCTGGTCTGCCTTTTTCAGACAAAAAAAAGTGCCCTAGTTAGGTAGCTGAATAATGAATCTCATTGCCTAATATCACAATTAATGCTTTGCTTGCAAACCATTCCATACTAAATGCCACTTGGAGATGATGATTCATAGACCTGAAACAAAGGAGAGTGTACCCAAATTTTAATTTGACTCATTTAATAGCATTTACCACTACTTAGTCTTTACTTTTAGAATAATAAATCTAAGAGTTCCTAAACCATTTTTCTTGGTTTGTTTTGTGAGGAAGATTGTTGCTGAGCTAACATCTGTACCAGTCTTCCTCTATTTTACGTGGGATGCCGCCACAGTGCGGCTTGACGAGCGGTGCTAGGTCCATGCTGGGGATCTAAATCCATGAATCCCGGGCTACTGAAGTGGAGTGCATGAACTTAACCACTATACCACCGAGTTGGCCCTGAGTTCCTACACTTTTAAAAGAGGTTTATTATATAGAGGAAAGTTGGCACTAGTCTATGTGCAAGACAGACCACTTTGTTAACCGGTGGGAACCTAAAATAAAAAAACAAGCCCTTTTTAGGTAACCACATGCCTGCTTACCTTAAATGCCATGAACTTATGATATGGTTTAGGAGCCCAAGCATATATCTCCACAGCATTCTTTAAGGCAATCACCAAGAATTTGATCCTTTCATATTTAACTGTAATAGAAAAATTATGAATTAAAAAGGTAAATCATTTATTCAAGTTTTTGTATTAATAAATGTGTATGCCACAATATGTAAATATATATATAAAGCCATAATTGAAGGTGATGCTCTTGGTGTGGGCTTTTCTCACAGATACAGATTTAACTTCCTTTAGTGTACTTGGTCTGCAGAATACTTCAGGCCTTTTGCTACATATTGAAGGCTGTTTTCTTCATCTAAAGATGTAACTGGCTTAGGACTGTCTTTAACCACTAGGTCTAGATGAGAATTATGCATTGCAGTAAAAATCTGTGTACTATCCTTCATGTTTCCTTGCCTGGCTTTTATCTTTGCTCACATGTAAGTAGCTGAGGGCTGGTACGGCAAGATAGTAGAAAAATGAGCAAATGGGTAGAGACATAAAGGCTGTCATTTGCTTATTATTCAAATTTAAATTCCAACTATTCGGAATTTATAGGGGATTAGTGCCTTTATAAGAGACCCCAGAGAGATCTCTTTCCTTTTCTGCTATGTGAGGTTGCAGCAAAAAGACAGCTGTCTATGAACCAGGCAGTGGGCCCTCACCAGACACTGAATCTGCCAGCACCTTGACCTTGTACTTAGCCTCCAGAACTGTGAGAAATAAGCTCCTGTCGTTTATAAGCCACCCAATCTGTGATATTCTGTTATAGCGGCCCGAACAGACTAAGACAGTACACCTGGCAGTCATTTTCTTTATAAAATATCTGAACAAACAGAATATTCTGTGTCCTAAAGAAACTGGACAGGCCAGGATAACCGACCAAACTCTTACTCTCTGAGCTCTTTCTATAGCATGCCCCTCTGTTTACACATTCTGTGTTTAATATACTTTCAATTACTTCTTCAGCAATTTATTTCTGTATTTCTAAATAACATGCTAATAATGTTAGTTTTTAATTTTTTTCAGTTGTAGCCATTATCTACTGATTTTGCAGTATGGAAAGGATTTAGTCTCTATAACCCTCTCCTCTGTCTGGTTCTCTCTCTCAAACATACCATTTCTTCCTCCCTCATACCTCCTATATAGCTAGATTTTAATTTTTGGTTAAATCAATGTCCTCTGTTCAAATTATTTTTGTTCACAAGTGAGGCAGAGAGTTCACCATAATTATATTTCCTTTCTTGTTTTCCCTCATTTTTTTCACTTCCCTATTGTCTGTGTATCTGTAAGCTCATGTAAACGTCCTTCTAGTGCTGTAAATGCCCTAATACAGTTAAACGCGGCAGGTAATCTATTAGTAACATTTTGTTTTTCTTGGAGGCACCTTTTCTGGAATGCTCCATCGTCCCACTCTGCTTGGACTGATTTCTCTCTAGGCCTGTATATACATACATATATATATGGTTCCTACTGGTTCCGTTTCTCTGGAGAACCCTGGTTAATACAGATGGGTTATAAAATACCAGTTGAAAATAATTTTTCCTTCAGAATTTTGAAGGCCTTGGACCGTCTTCTAATCTTCCAGTACTGCTGCTAAGCTCCAGGCCACCTAATTCTGGGTCTATTACATGTAAACTGTTTGTTTATTTATTACTTATAACTTGGAAGCTTTAAGGATTTTCTCATTTCCTGGGTACTGAAATATCATGTTGATATGCATCCTCGTGAGTCTTTTTTTCATTCACTATATTAGGTACTCATGGAATCTTTCTATTTTGGGATTTCAAGGCCTCAGTTCTAGAAAATTTCCTTGTATTCTTTCTTTGATACTTTCCTCCTCTTCCATTTCTTATTTTCTAAAATTCATGTTACTTAGATTCTGAACCATTGGGACTGATCCTTTTATTTTCTTACCTTTTCTCTCCTTTTTTTTCTTTTTCTTTTCTTTTTTTCTACTTTCTCAGAGATTTCTCCTCTTTATCTTCCAAGACTTCTATTACATTTTTTATTATTGCCAATATATTTTAATTTCTAAGATTTTTTCTTAGTCTCTGAATGATCTCCCCAAAACCCTGCTATATTTCTTTTTCCTTAATAGCCCCTACTCTTTTATGGAAAAAGTTTTTCTATCCTCTCTCAAGTTATAGTTTCTTTTTTATAAAATTCTCTTCCGCTCCTCATTATCCTTTTTCCTCTAAAGTCCTTTCTTTCTGTTTGTTTCCTTCCTATTAATGGATTTCCCCACTGTCTGGCAGAGGTGGGCTTATCGACTGCTGGACTTCACTTTAAGGTGGTTATCCCACAAACTTTTTTCATGGAATTTCAAATATTAGCACCTGAACATCTTTTCTTTCTGACCATTTAGTTTATCCAAAGATAAACTTTTCAGTGTCTTGCTTGGGAGTTTAATCATGACTGCCAATATTTTGGGAGCTAAACAGGGAAAGGAGGTGTGCATGCGTATGTCTGTGTCCTCACATTTCAGTATTCCTCATCATCAGATTGGCTGTGCCAACCTTTCATCCGCTGCAGTGGGTGAGGGGCTGCCTGACTGTTCAGCTGGGAACTGGATTCTGGAGGACCTGCTGCTCAGCAGCTTTCCAACAACCCTCCTATCTTCAGTCCCACCCTACACCTCCACCTCGGATACACCTGGGGTCTCTGGCCCTGGGCCTTACTGGGTTCTGTTGAGTGATTGGGTTGATTTAGCAGACTTTCCTCACCACAGACTTAAAATTCAGCATTTCCTGGTCGTCTAGGTCTATTCCTAATCATCCAACTACTCTTGTTCAATTTTGTTGACATCTCATTTGCTGACTTCTCTTCTCCTGTTCCCTTTGTCCTTGTGGGTTTATGGCATTTTTATTCCTTTATTGTCATTTTAATGGGTCTTTGGGAGGGGGTGAATTTAAATGTTCAAACTGGAATCTAGGACTTTATCCTGACAAATATACTCTTTGAACTTCAGCAATCTGACTTTCGGCAATAATGCAAGTATACTTAAGGTTCCAGCAACATCTTAAACTACTCACAAACAGTATCTGATAGAAAAAACTGAATGAAATTTAGCGGAATAATCTGGATTAAGTAAGTGGTCCCTGTCTTGAGACTCACCAACTTTGTAATGAATACAGCCTTCCAAGTCCCCAACAGTGATCCAGCCTTGTTTCTTTTCCACTTCTGGGTCATTGTGGAGTATTCTGTTTCTTAACCATGAAAGATAGTAAACTCGTAGCTTATTCTTCTTTCCTGTTGAAATAACAGAATTTTAATTTCAAGCTACTGTGACAGCTTTTTTTCTCAATCCTTCCCCATCTCCACATTATTCATTTACTTTTATGTACAATTGTATTTGAGCGTGTATGTGTGAAGGCACAATAACCAGTGTTCCCAGCATCATCAAAGTGTTGCCTCTGCCAGGACTATGGTTAAAACAGCTCCAAGTGTTTTGGACAAACAACCATTTTATAATTTGTGTTTACCTTCAGGTGATTTCTGATTTAAGCAAGCTGTTCTCACTTTCTTTTTCCAGTGCAAAGCGCAATGTATGCTGAACTCATAAGACCTAATTCTGTAACAGAACAGTTGATCAGAGTTCCAAAACATTGTAGATCCAATTACATGAAGGAATGTGACAAGTGAACATTTTAAGGTATGCACTTATGTGTGACTGCCTTTCCCTCACCTCCTAACGCAGCAGCATATGTTAATGAGAGCTTCTTATTGCCTCCTCCATTACTTTAAAGATGACAGCTGGTAGTGGTTTTATTTTACCTAACAACAACAAAGAAAGTAATTCTATAAGGAGACAAGAGAAACAAGTGTAATAAAGGTACTCTGGGCTCTGAAAATAACCCTGGACATGTTTTTGGTACTGAGGTCACTGAAAGAAATACCAAACAAAAATAGGAGAGGATTAAAAGATGTGTACTTGGAAAAAAACTTAAAAGTTCCCTTTGGTAAAGTGTTCCTGGAGTAAAGAATTCTTTGTATGATAAGAAAACATCTTAAAAATATTGAGGAGTACACAAGGAGCAAAACTTTTAGTATACTCCATGAGATTATCTGAGCACCAGGTAAGGAAATGCCCCTTGGTCTGGCTCTTCCTAAGTGATCAGAAATTTAGGCCTGTGGCTTATACTTCTTGGGTAATTATCTTCCTTTGATTTCTCTTAGGTGTCAAAAGACGTTTTAGATTTTACAGGTGTGACACCTACCAGAAGAAGAGTGTTCATTAAAGCACTGCACACTGGGTTTGACCAGAGAGTGCATTCATAACTTAAATTAAGGGAATCACTGTGCAGGTACGATTCCTTTTTGTAACCAAAAGCCAAGAAGGTGCATTGAGCCCAATGGCCAGGATGGGCAGGAGGGCCCGTGCTTCCTTCTTTCTATGTCGACGTAGACCCGAGGGCACTTCAAGAATCATTTGCTCTTATTTTCCTTTTCTTCTTTCCCCATCATGGTAAGAGGAAATGGTTACACTTTTAAGAATGGGGATGTGTTGCTAACAACATAATGAAGCCTAAATGTGAATTTTCTGGTATTACTGCCACTTTTGGTAGGTGAGCGACAGATGTATGGTTTTAAATTTGATTTGGTAGTGTAGCAATCCAGAAAGCAATTAACCAGAACAAAGGACTACACTGAATTAAACTCAAATGATAATATGAGAAGAATGTACTTGGTTAACCCTCATTTGGGGAGAATAAAAATAGATGAAATTCTGAGCATTCAGTGGAAAGGTAAAAGAGGGAATTGTAGCATCAAGTGAAGGCATTTCTTTCAAAATAGAAGTAGAGATGGAGAGTTAAACTTTTCTCGAGGTTCAACCCAGTAGTTCTGTGCTGTCTCTTTGCAAAACAACAGCTGAGTGTAGAGCTGTGGTTCTCAAACTTGGCTGCACACTGGAAACACTTCAGGAACCAGGAAGCAGGAAAGCTATTGATGCCTGAGCCCCACCCCCATGGATTCTGACCCACATCTCCTCAGGTGGCTCTAATGTGCAGTGGGACAATGGTTTCACACTGGATGGAATAAGATGGGAGGGGAAAAAGGATGTTATTTATTAAACTCTTTCAAATACTATCAGAAAGAAAAAACTTTCAAATACAGACTCTTTTAGGTAACATTTTAAACTTGTCAGTAATAAGGCCTTCACTTTTGTCTTTTTTTTTTTTTTTTAAATCTCTTTCTGGAAAGCAGAAAGCTGCAGACTGTAGCAGTAATGATTCCCACATTCAAATCTCGTTGCAGACTCAATCACCCAATGGGCCAGCGGCACTTGCTAAAACATCAGTAGACTATAAGCTAGAGGAGTAATTGAGAGAAAAGAGACCAGAGGAATTTCTGCTTATAAAGTTTCCTACTCCCAGAAATCTGCATTTTGATATTCTCCATCTGAGAGTAGATAGCAATGACTGGGATGCAGACACCTTAAAAAAAAAGCTTCTTGCTGAGGGCTGGCAGGGGTTAAAGGCCTAGAGCCACACAGCCTTTGTGGTATGTTTCTGCCTGATGCAGATTTCACGCAGAGGTGAGAGACCTCCTTTTGGAGGTTAGAGTCTCCAGAGTTACCAAATGTGGGTGGTCTCACTCTGGCTAAACTGCTATAATTTACTGTGGCGCTTGTTAGCTGGGAAGGGCAGAGCTTACTGTTTTTTCAGAAACAGGTGATCACCTTTCCCACCTGCGCAGACCTGGAGGACACATCATCCTAGTAACATACCTGATATAGTCACAAGGACATTCAGGCCTTCTAGCACATCCATCTGTTGAAATCGCCTCCGGTTGATCAGATTATAGACTTTGCCTTGCCCACTTCGGTCCAAAAGCATCAGGCCATTTTCAGTTCCCACCAGGAGGTTTACGCCTGCAATTTAAGAAGCACCCAAGACTGACTTTTTATGGGCTTTAACCTTCTGCATCTGGGATCCCTGTAAAACCTAAGAAGCCACGCTTTATAAATATAAACTAATGGGCAAGTAGGTACTACAGTAGGGAGTGTGGAAGTAGAAGCTCTGTCACAGTAATTAGATCACCGTCCCTCTGGTAATGAAATTAGTTTTCTTTTATAAAGTGGTAGTGGCATTCATTACATCCAGCCATTACTACCTAGTATAGAGTGCTTCTCAAAAGGAGCCTTAGGCACAGCTGTGATGCTAGCACAATTTGCCTTTATTCCTTTCCTGTAATACCTATCCTTTCTTGGCTCTCACCTCAAGACTTCCCTACAGTTCACCCCACCCCTTTTCATGCAGTGATTTCTAGCCTACCCACCTCAGCATACAACAAAGTACCGCATTTCCATACCTCACTGGAAGAAAAGCCCTTTCTCCTCCTCACAGCAAAGCTTAATTTGTGTCCTAAGGTTCTGCTCTTTGTTAGGAAATGGTAAACCAATTTAAGTGAAGGTGTTAGTAGCCTGAAAGTCACATAATTATTGACTGTAAGGGACTTCTCATGTATCTAAATCTAGTCCAGCCCACCTCCCATGTGGTAATGCCTAATACAAAAGCTCTGGCAGGTGAGTGGTCTTGTCTGGGTAACTACAATCCTAAAAATTCATCCCTAGGCAAACCATTCCCCCAACACACAGACACTGAGAGGTCCACTGCGCAATGGACTATATTCATGAGCAGGTAACTTTCTAATTTCTCTGGCTGGCTGTACATCTATCTTCTGAGTACCATGAATGTCTGCTCCTTTGTCCACATATTATTCAATATTAAACATGGCTATCTTAGTGTCTTCCATCTCTTCTCCAGAGGACAGAGCCTTACTCCCCTCCATCACCTCTCCCATGAAATGGTTTCCAGGCTTCATGTTTTTCCCTCTAACATCTCAAATGCTTTTGCCCTTATAAAATAGTGGTGCCCAAACTAGGCTTAGTAGTTTAGATGGGTACAGATGGGCCATGTCTTTCCTTGATCTGTACGTGATGTTTGTAGTAACACAGACCAGGACTTGGATAGAATCCCATCACACCCATACGAGGCATACCTTGTTTTATTGCGCTTCACTTTATTGTGCTTGCAGATATTGTGTTTTTACAAACTGAACGTTTGTGGCAACCTTGTGTCGAGTAAGTCTATAGGTGCCATTTTTCCAAAAGCATTTGCTCACTTTGTGTCTCTGTATCACATTTTGGTAATTCTCACAATATTTCAAACTTTTTCATGATTATTATATTTGTTATGGTGATCTGTGATCAGTGATCTTTGATGTTACTATTGTAATTGTTTTGGGTTGCCACAGACCACGCCCATATAAGACGGCAAACTTAATCACTAAATGTTGTGTGTGTTCTGACTGCTCCACTGACTGGCCGTTCCCTCATCTCTCTCCCTCTCCTTGGGCCTCCCTACTCCCTAAGACATAACACTATTGAAATTAGGCCAATTAATACCCCTACAATGGCCTCTAATTTCAAGTGAAAGGAAGAGTTGCAAATTTCTCATTTTAAATCAAAAGTTAGATATGATTAAGCTTAGTGAGGCAGGCATGTCAAAAGTTGAGCGAGGCCTCATCACCAAACAGTTAGCCAGGCTGTGAATGCAGAGGAAGAGTTCTTGAAGGAAATTAAAAGTGCTACTCTAGTGAACACATGAATGATTAGAAAGCAAAATAGTCTTATTACTAATATGGAGAAAGTTTTAGTGGTCTGTACAGAAGAGCAAACCAACCATAACATTCCCTGAAAGCCAAAGCCTAATCCAGAGCAAGGCCCTGACTCTCTTCAGTTCTGTGAAGGCTGAGAGAGGGGAGAAAGCTGCAGAAGAAAAGTTTGAAGGTAACAGAGGTTGGTTCAGGAGGTTTAAGGAAAGAAGCCATGTCCATAACATAAAAATGCAAGGTGAAGTAGCCAGTGCTGATGTAGAAGCTGAAACAAGTTATCCAGAAGATCTAGGTAGGATTATTAATGAAGGGGGTACACTGATCAAGGGATACTTGCAGAAGGTTAGAATAGCTGTTGCAATTTCTTAAAATAAGACAACAAAGCCTGGATGAAGCACATCTGTTTATAACACGTTTACTGAATAGTTTAAGCCCATTGTTGAGACCTATCGCTCAGGAAAAAGGAGTCCTTTCAAAATATTACTGCTCATTGACAAGACACTGGGTCACCCAAGAGCTGTGATGGAGATGTATAAAGAGATTAATGTTGTTTTCATGCTTGCTAACAAAACATCCACTCTGAAGCCCATGGATCAAGAAGTAATTTTGACTTTCAAGTCTCATTTAAGAAATACATTTCATAAGGCTACAGCTGCCATAGATAGAGATTTCTCTGATGGATCTGGGCAAAATAAATTGAAAACCTTCTGAAAAGGATTTACCACGAACACTCATGATTCACGGGAAAAGGAAAAAATATCAACATTAATAAGAGTTTGGAAGAAGTTAATTCCAACCCTCATAGATGACTTTGAGGAGTTCAAGACTTCAGTGGAGGAAGTAACTGCAGATGTGGGAGAAATAGCAAAAGAACAAGAAATATAAGTAGAGCCTGAAGATGTGACTGAATTGCGGCAATCTCATGATAAAACTTTAACGGATGAGGAGGTGCTTCTTATGGACGAGCAAAGAAAGCGGTTTCTTGAGATGGAATCTACTCCTGGTGAAGATGCTGTGAAGATTGTTGAAATGACAGCCCAGGATTTAAACACTGCATAAGCTTAGTTGATAAGGCAGCTGCAGGGTTTGAGAGGACTGACTCCAGTTTTGAAAGAAGTTCTACTATAGGTAAAATGCTATCAAACAGCATCACATGCTGTACAGAAATTGTTCGTGAAAGGAAGGGTCAATTGATGCAGCAAACTTTGTTGTCTTATTTTAAGAAATTGCAACAGCCACTTTAACCTTTTTGCAATTACCATCCTGATCAGTCAGCAGCCATCAACAGTGAGGCAAGACCCTCCACCAGCAAAAAGATTACCACTCGCTGAAGGATCAAATGATGGTTAGCATTTTTTAACAATAAAGCATTTTTTAATTATTGTATGTACATTGTTTTCTTTAACCATAATGCTATTGCACACTTAACAGACTACAACATAGCGTAAACATAACTTTTATATACACTGGGAAACCAAAAAAATTGTGTACTTTGCTTCACTGCAATATTTGCTTTATTGTGGTGGTCTGGAACAAAACCCGCAATATCTCCGAGGTATGCCTTGACTGAGTTTGAGGTCAGTTAAAACCTGCAGATCTTTTCTACAAGAACTGCAGGTTCTTATAAAAACCTGCAGGTGATGTTTTGATCTAAAAGGGAAGTGTCATCATTTGTTGTCCTTTTCAAGTTTTATCTTACTCCTACTATTTGTGTTGTTGGCTTTAGCCCATCACTGTTTTGAGACAAGGTCGTTCTGAATCTTATTCTGTTCACCTGGGTATTAGGGTATCAGTTCTTTTTACATATAAAGTTGCTCTTGATCACTCCTGAGGTTAGGACAGTCCCTAGTCAGGTCTCTAACATCCATGATTCAACCAGTGCTCTTCTGATGTTAAGACCCACAGGCTTAATGTTTGAGTGTCAGTTCATTAGTGAGTGGTAGAAAGCACCAACTTACCCCACAGAGCTGCACAAAGTATTTCTGAGTTGAATCGTTTCTTATATTTTCTGATTTCTGGTGTGTCACTATGAGGCCGAATGTTGGTTGGGTTTACATTTACTACTGAAATCTTTCTTGCTTCATTGAGTTTGGCCTGTTCTTGCCTAAGAAGTTCGCTAGTAAACAGAGCTTTGAGAAAAAGAATCAGAGAAGTCAGTAGCATCTTAAAATATAACCAATGTAGACATGGAGAAGGGGCTTCAAACACTATGATTTTTTCCTTCTTTAGTGCACATTATAGTAAAGGCAAAGAAACTCTGAAACTATGCGTATTTTACATTTTTGTTTAGTAAAATAAAGTATATCATTCATAGAAGCACTATTTTATCTATTAGTAAAACAGGCTTATAGACACTACTTGGCTAGTTTAGAGAATTGATATTCATCTCACAAAGTTAAATGCACCATCCTCATTTCCTGTAATATATGCAGGAAAGATTTACTTTTTAAAATTCCACATTATCAGTTGACAAACTGGCCTAAGCTGACTCTGATGATTAGTGAGTTGTAGAAGTCTAGAAAGCAAGACTCCTCTAAATCAGCCAGACCTTTGCGGCGGGAAGCACACATCTAGAACTCAACACAACTCAACACGCACTTATTAAGTGTCTACTGCGTGCACAGCATTGTACCCAGAAATTGCTTTTGAGAAATAGGTGGTAAGCCTGGAGATCTCTGAGGAACAGCTTTTCCTAGGGCCCCTGGATATCTCTGGGTTCCTACTAGAAGCAAAATAGAAAAGATAAAAAAAAAAGAAAAACGGAGAAAAAAATTTGTTTTATAAACCCTACAAAAATAGTAATTAAGAAAAAGGTCTTCCCTTTAAGTCAGGACCTAAGCAGTAAATGGCTTATCTACTGAACTAATGATTAATTTCTTTATCAGGCCATACCAGAAAGGAAAACCAAGCTGTTTCAAAAGCATTGGGCCCTTCTAACTTACCCGCAGCTGATGATTCTTCATCCTCTTCATCTTCATCAGTGGGAGATGTCTGGTATACTCTGGGGTCCACAAAGGGGGTGAAGGAGGCCTTAGTGCTGCTCCCCATGCCATACTAGTCAATAAGCAAGAAGATTAAGAAGAGCAGATAAATACTGCAGGAACAAACAATGCTAACAATACTTTGGGCTTTAAAATGATTACAGACTCTTCAATCCATCCAGCTGTTCACACAACAACGCCCTAGTCAAAGTGTGTGCCTCCCTCCAGCTTCTCTTGGTATTGGTTACTCGCTAGCCATTGTGTCTTTGCAGGGTTTTATTAATTATCAGGCTGCAAGATTTGCAGTGAGCAAATTATATTTTGGACTGTATGTGGCACTTTAATGTCTGGTAAGGTGACTGTGGTGACAGCTTCTCTCTCTCTTAAAGTAAAAGCAATCTCATATTGACCAAACGGCCTTAAGAAAGGCTGACACAATTAGCAATAAACTAAGTAAGCAGTCTATGCGGCAGCACTTCATCCTGAACACAAGGCCAACCAAAAGCTCTCTCTCAGGCCTTTGGGCCCTCCATGCTGGCTTGGCGACAGGGGTGGATTATGTTGGCTCGAGAAGCCTTAGAATCTTTAATTCAGGGATAATTTCATTGAGGGACTGAAGATTTTTCCTTCCCATGACAGTCTCCTTAAAAGGATACTTATTTTTGCATGCCTTATTTGGGGACTTCATGAAGATACTAGGTTTGAAAGCTATGCACTTTGAAGGCTTACTTAAAAAAGTAAATCTCAAGGGCTTGGACAGCACCATGAAGACAGGAAGTCAGAACTAGACAAGGGAATAGTAAACTGAAATATCAGGGCTTCGTGTCACAATAGTTCGTATTTGTGTTTTGCCAAAGGAGCTGCAATAACCATCTCCCCATTTTGTCTTTCATCTCCATTCCTTCCACTGTACTCAAGACCGTTTAACATCACAAACAGACCATTCAACTTAAGAAGCACCTCTATTTTCGGATACATGTTTTTAATTAAGTTTTTAATTTTTAGTTTATTTTTACTTGTTTTTTTAAAAATAAAATCAACATCCCAACACCCCTAAACAAGGAGAAAATCACAAAGATCCGATCTGATTTAATTTGCCCTCCACCTTATAAAAAAGTCAAAAGCACTCCATTCTCTATAAGGTAGGATGCCCCCTCCTTAATAGAGCTCTTTCACATACAGTGTCTCCTTTCATCTTTAAAATAAGTCTGAAGGAAGTAGGACAGATACTAGCATTCCCACTTAGAGGTTGGGACAGCAGTAGAATTGGAACCGGGGTCCAACCCCACATGGTCCTCTTTGGTACCAACAGAGGTATTCAGGCAGGAAAAAGCCTGCCCACACTGCATGGAGCTACAATAGGATGTTACACTTTCTGATATGCCACGGTTCTTTTCCTTGGGGCAAGCCAAGCTCATTTGCTCTGTAACTTTAGAATCCAAAGTGTGCATCATAAAAACTTAGTGTGCGGACATCAGAAACAACAGTGCCTATGCTTTATAAACACATTTAGGGCCTATGTGTGATTCACAGGACTATTCATGAAACATGACCAATAACTGTGAACTCATCCAATTGGTCAAGCTCAGTCAATGACATCTACAAGCAGTGCCTAATAGACTGTGTTTATTCAGGCTTTTGCCCAGACTGTTTCTATATAGGAAAGACAATATCCCATTTCACTCTTTCTCATGTAATTTGGAGTTTAGGAAGATGAATACTTTGAGATCCTATCTATTTACTGATTTTTATTTTTCATAAAAAAATCATTTCAACCTCATTTCATTTAAGTCGAACTTAGTTTGACTAAATTAATATAATTATGAACCTCAACTATTGGCATTGGAATTTCTATAGGCTGAAGCTTCTATCACAGGCCTGGGAGATAGGAGGTCCCAGTTCTGGTCCTAGCTCTGTCAAAACCAGCTGTGTGCCCTGGGCAAGGCACTTAACCTCTCTGAGCCTCGGTACATCTGTGAAAACAGGTATTGGTCCAGATGACATTTGAGAACTTTTTACTGCTGTGCTTCTATAATTTCCTCCATTTGAGGATATGCATAAGTACTATATAGTAGAAATCAACCAAACACATTTCAGGGGCTTGACAAAGCCGCATTCTTGAAGAAAGGAGGGTTTCAGAAACCCCTGAAACGAGAACAGAGCTGTCGTGACAGTTGCCCACAACCTACTTCAGTCCCAGAGTCCATTTCCTGGGGATGGGTGGAGACGCGCCCCAGGCCCTCAGTTGGGGTCCCAGCTGGGGAATGGCTCTGCTGCACGAGGTCCGGGAGGTTGATGTGGCCAGCAAAGCCATTGCTGTCAGTATGGCCAGATCGTTTCTTCTCTCCAGATGTCTGAGGGGCACAACACATGGGCAGCATTAGAAAAGGAGGGCAAAGGCCACAGAGCAGCATCACGCCTCACAGAGCACAGGTGCAGTGGGTCTCTATTGACTCACTAGAGTATGGGAAGATAATATGCAAATTTCTATTTTACCCAAGAAAATAAGAAACAAGTTAAGCTTTGCTAATATTTAGTATATGAATTGACCCTGAGGCCTATGCTTCTGTACGAGGGGCAGTCAGAGGTCACACAGGATGTGGGGGTTCTCTGTGGGGAGACAGGAATGCCAGAGGTGGAGGGGCCAAGTGGGGCCCATTCTTGCAAGTTCCTCTTCTGCAGTGTTTGTGTGTGCGTGTGCCTGTCACACCAGTTAACTAGATTTGCAGATCATATTGCAAATATGGTTTTCTTACATACAGCTTACAATGACACAAATCCACACAACAGAAACATGACCTAAAATATTGCTGAAAAGAAGCAGTAGGTTGAGATAATACTGATAATCCACGCACAGTGTAGAGATGATACCTATCCAACTAGTGGGCCTCTTTGTCAGTCATGAGGTCAAAACAATGATTCATCATATCTGGCAGGAGTTAGAAAAAAACACTGAAATGATCTAAAGGTTATTTGAAAATATGAATTTACATCCACTATCACTAACGTTGAATCTCTCAATAAGCAACTATGGTGCCTTGTGATAGCAGTCAATATAAAAAAGAGGCCATTATGACTAGCAAAGCATCTGAAATATTGTTTATAGCATCCTTTTAAATGTCCTTTAAAGATATTTTATAATGTATATTCTCCTGTAGTAAGACAAATGCATGATTTGTAAATAAATAAATATACTATATTACGTGGCATGCTCTAAAATTTTTACTGATTGGGTTGCATGACCGAACAAGTTGGAAATCACTGCTCTGGAGAGAAAAGCCTCCTCCCAAATCTCCTGAGGAAGAAATACAGATTTAAAAGACAACCTTGCTCCCTAAAAGCCAGTGCCCACATCGTCGGCCTGGCTAGTGTTGTACTTTCTGATTGAACATTTGTAAGACTGGCTCACTGAGGTTTCTTAGAGCAGATCTGATTAAGTAATGATCCCCTTCTTTGCCTTTTCTTTCTTTAATTCATTTACCCAGCATTTCTGAGTGCCTACTAAGTGTGAAGCATCTGCTGAACATGGAGGAATTAGGAGCAAGCAGATGCACGTTCTGCCTTCTTTGGGGCTGGCTGCCATGGGCGAGGGCTCGTGCTGTTTCTCATGGCCTGGCTTCTTCCTTCCAGAGCCTGTCTTGGTCTTGCAGTTACAACTCTACACCTACCTCTGGCTAGAAGTGAAAGGAGGCATTTTTGTGTGTGTGGGGGGGAGATGAAACAGACCCCAAGTTCCTGAAGGGGTGCATATAATTGTTGGTACCAGGAAGCTTGAAACATAACTGGAAAGCCTTAGTGCTCTCTGTTTCTTAGCAACATGCTCCTGGCTTACGAACTCTCCTGGAAACGGGTATTTTCTGGATTCATCTTGCCACAGTACTCATTGGAATATTTCATCTTCTAAATGACATCTCGAGGGTTCAGTCCTAATTTATCTTATTGTCCCCAACTTTATGTGTACTGGGCAGTTTCTCCTTCCTTCTAACTTCTGTTCAAATACTGAAAAGCTTTTTAACATTTTTCCCCAACTTCCCAGTAGCATAAATCAGACACTGTCTCTTTAGAGTTTTGCGGTCGCTCTTGTGTTAGCAGCATTCTGCCTTAAGCCAAAAACAGATGTAGACACATTGGTTATCAAAGACCTGAAGAGGCTAACAAGGGGAAACGGCCCAGAGAGTGGGGAGCTTGAAGGAAGCTAGCAATGACACCTGAATCTTCCCACTTCTGAGTCATCACCCTTTTGTTCAATCAACCAGTACCTGTTTAGACTTAAATACCTTCTCTGTGCCAAGCACTCTGTCGGGAACACAAAGATAAATGCACAACGGTCTTGCCCTCTAGAACTTCAATAACAGAGCCCCAACAATCTCTATGATCTCTTTTATGCCCTCACCATTCCCATGAAGGTGGGCACTAAGATGTTCCGAGTACCAACATATGCCAGGTACTGTGCTAAACACTTTATATTTATATCCTCACAATAACACCATGGGTTAGTTTCCATTATCCCCATTTACAGATGGAAAAACTTCAGTGTAAAGAATTTAATTAACGTGCCCTGAGTGACACAGGTTGTAAGTGATGAAATCAGGCTTTGAACTAAGGCTGCCTGCTGGCAGAGCCCAGGTACTTGGTGCTGCTGTACCAGGTGGCTCTGCTCACTCTTGGCCACAGCTGATTGGATCAGAGTGGACACCTGAGCCAAACAGGACCACATTCCCATTGGAATTTACCATTAGGCCTGAGAGATACCAGGTCAGTCTCCGCTGAGCAGCTGAGCTGGGATGTGGTGACTATCTTGCAGTGGGGGACAGAGGGAGATGACAGCACGTGCATGCAGAGGGAGAGAAAGCTGGTTCGTGGAGACAGAAGAACAAGGAGAAATGTAGAGGAAACAGAGATGAGGGTAAGGAGGCCAGGTAGCAAGAGAGCCAGATACGCACATGAGAAGTTGCCTGAGCTCCTGACATCTTTTTAGTTTCTGGTTCCAGCCTTGCATAGCGGGCCTAACTCACTCTCTGCCTGTGGATTCCTTCCATGAAATGCCTCTGAATCTTTATTCCCCTATCTCTGATACCTACTTCACTTATTATTTTTTTTCTTAAGCTGTTTTAAGTGGGTTCTTTTTCTTATGACTTGTAACCAAAAGAGCTTTCATGATGACAAGCTAGTGTTCTGGTCAGTGGGGCGGACAGACACTGGAGAGATACCAGCTGGTCAGTAAGAAGGTGATATGGTCAGAGGCCCATGGAGTCCCAGGAGAGCCTTCAGGGAGAAAGGGAAGGCTGAGCCGGTCTATAGGGATCTGCTGGGTGAAGAATGGGCAAAGATGAGGAGGGGAGATTAACTTTTCTGGCAGATGGGCCCCCACAGGCAATGTGGCAGATGACAGCTGGTGTGGAGTGTTCTATAACTAGAGTAAAGAAAGGTCCTGTGGGGCTGTAGGATAGGAAAAGGTAGACCCACGGGGCACTTGTGCATCTGACAAGACCATGGGTAGTACAGCCCGTATGTTCCTACAGAACCATCCAGTCCATGCCCAGGAGAATGACGAGTTGAGTCAGTTCTCCTTGATGTTCAATCCTGGGGAACTCAACTAATAGCACCCTATAAACTAAGTTCTATTATAATGAGTTTTTATTTTTTTTCTTATTATTTTGTCAGGGACAAACTTTAATTTGCATTTATCTTTTTAATACCCATACTTTTAATGGATTTCAACTCAGGATTTATTATTTTTAAAGCCCGCATTTGGGAAAGGTGGAATTTGGAAATTGAGAGGACAAAAAGATTGTGGGGCCCTCGACAGATCAAATTTATATAAGACACCGATGAATGCTATTTTCAAAGTGATTGGCTGTGCTCAGAGAATTTCGGAGTGCTTTAAATAATCTGGAGCCATTCAGATGTGGCGGACAACTGAACTAAAAATGTGGCTTCAAATATCTGCTTCAAGGTATTGACTTTGTCATAAAGACTCAAGCAAATTTTAAACCACGTTAGAAATGGGAGTCCTTTCATTTGGAGTCAGAAAGTAACTCACTCCAGAATATTTTCCCTCATGTTTTCCCATGTGGCAAGCTATAGTGATAGAAGCCCTCCACGCTTCCACTGAAATGATCCATTCACCACACTGGGAGATTTATATACCAGCACTACACAATGTCAACTTCAGCAGCCAAGCCCATTTTTCATTTCAGGCTTACATGAAAGGACTCTTTAAAGCCTACTTGAAAGATTCGGTAAAGCCATAAAATGAAATTCTAGCAAGTTGCTTTGTGAACTACTCTTCCTGTTATAGCCCTACTGCCAATGATTACTTCAAAGGCCTTATTCATCTCAAAACTACAGTTCCTTTTTTACTAAGTGAGATGCCCTCTACCTTTCTGGAGAGCAGAACCTGCTATTAGGGCTTCCCAATATCCTGGATGAGGAAGGAGAGTGACAGATGATCTATGTACATGTTGCAGAGGGAAGAGTGGGGAATGCTAACAAATCAAAGAACTCAACTCTCTGGAGAGAGTGAAATAGAATACAACAGTTAACATTTATTGAATGCTTACATGTATTAACTCATTTAATATTCCCAATCATCTCATGAGCCAGATACTATGATTTATGAAATTTCATAGATGATAAAATAGATGCAGGGAGACATAAGTAACTTTGCCCAATGTCATCAGCCATTACTTTCCTTCCAAGCAGAGACCTGCTGTCAAACTTGCATGGTGATGATGAAGTGAAAAAGAAGAGAAGACAGATCCTAATTTCTCAAGGCCCTTCTGGTTAGCCCAGATGGGGAAGTGCGTTTGAGGGATGGGCGAAAGGGAACATGTGGGCACCCCTCCCAAAAGAAATGATGCTCCTGGAGTTTAAAAAAATAAAATCACTCAAAGTGCTAAGGTGCATTTTTAAGTAGTTCTGCATATTTCTTTGTTCTTTCACCAGTATAGCTTAATAGTCTTTTTAATGTTCATTTAACTAGACAAGATGACATCACCATTTCTTGGAACTACTGAGCATTTTCAACATAAAATCCATAAGGATAACACCATGGGGAAGGAGGCATAAGAAGCCCACTGATGCTGTTCAGGGAGACCACTCGTTTCTGTTTTCCTGTGGTATGAAACATCTGGACTTGCCAGTTTTATATCCTCAGGCTCCAATTCTATATTCCTATTTGCATAGCTCCTACTGAAGAATTTGGACTAATGTAATTAAGCCACACTGCAAAAGCTTAGAAGGATACAGGAAAGAAGGTGGCTGACAATTAAAATCACTCAACCATTTAGAAGTACAGTCCCCCCCTCACCATTCCCCATGCTTAAAATACATGCTAAAAGCCTTCTCCGTGAAAGCTCTAATATAAAACCACTTAAGAAACGCACTTCCTCTGGACAGTTTGTATACCAACTTACCTCTCTTATCATCAAGGTTCCTTCTCTTGAAATACTGCTGCTGAAAGTGTCTGCATGAGAGGGCTCTAGCCCGTGCGAGCCGACCATTCCCACATTGTACTGCTCCGCGCTCCCTGGAGCTCCTGTTGGTCTGAGATGGGAAAGAACAACATTCACGGCAATGTATGTTTAGGGAATACCTGTTTCCTGTCCATATTAGTTTTTTTTATTGTGGTAAAATATACACAAGGTAAAATTTACCATTTCAACCATTTTTAAGTGTACTGTTCAATGGCCTTAAGTACGTTCCATATTATGTTCCGCTCTCAACCTGTTCTCCATCCAGCAGCCAGAGTGAGCGAGCTTCCTGCTCTCTATGGAAAAAACGCTGAAGTTCCTGTAGACCAGGCACTACCTGATCTCCGAGCCATCCCTACCCCTTCTTTGACCAGCAGGCACCCTGACCTACCTTTTTGCGTAGGTTGTTCCCTCTGCCTAGAAAGCTCTCTCCCACCCTGGCTCCCGGCTCGTTCCCTCTCATTTATCTGATTTCATCTCAAGTGCGACTTTCCCTCAGAAGCTTTCTCTTACCATCTATCTACGTCTTATCCCACCAGCCCCTGTTCTTTCTCTTCACTCTTTCTCCTAATACTTCTCACCACAATTTGTAATTCTTTATCCTTTGGTTCTCTTTTAATTTCCTCCTTCTCTCTCATTAAAACATATGCTTGTGAGGGGGCTGGCCCCATGGCGGAGTGGTTAAGTTCGTGCGCTCCGCTGCAGGTGGCCCAGAGTTTTGTCACTTCGAATCCTGGGCGCGGACATGGCACTGCTCATCAAAACCACGCTGAGGCAGCGTCCCACATGCCACAACTGGAAGGACCCACAACGAAGAATATACAACTATGTACTTGGGGGCTTTGGGGAGAAAAAGGAAAAAAATAAAATCTTTAAAAAAAAAAACATGCTTGTGAGGGTAGTCCTTGTCTCTTTGCTCATCACCGTCTACCTAGTACCCAGCATAGAGCTTGGCTCAGAATAGAAGTACAAACAATAATCATTTGATAAATGGATTTTATACCATTCATATCTGCGAATGTGAAATCCATGGATACGGAGGGCCGGCTATATTCATTGTACTATGCCATTTCACATAAAGGACTTGAGCAGCCTCAGATTTTGGAATCTGCAAGGCGTCCGTGGAACCAATCCTCCACAGATACCAAGGACAACTGTACTTATCATTATCCTACTTCAGCAGTTCTCTTTTAAAGTGGATTTTTTAAAAATAGGAAAGCTATCAAGGCTTGTTTCTCTCATTAGCTGTATTAACCCCATCTTTTACCATTTTGTTCTTTTAATTGTTTCTTATGTATTTAAAAAATATCTCTGGTTTCTCAGATCTTATCAAAGTCCAAGGACTTGATGAAACATTTAGTTCAAAAAGCAAGAAACACTCCATAGTTGTGATATCTCTGAGACAGAGAAAACGTGTCAAGGATTTTTATCCAAAACAGGCAAAAAGATGAGTCCAGACAGAAAAAATGTATAGCAAGACGCTTACTTCGAAATTACTAAACTGGAACAGTGAACTGAATGAATCTAAATATGGTTAGAACTGATGTGTTTGGGAAGAAATTCTGAAGATGCATTTTCAATATATCATTCCCAGAAACAGCTATGAATAGTGTTCCAGAGACATCGAAAAAGAAATTGCTGCAATGAATTTCTGGCATATTGCTAGACTGGTAAATCAGAATAGTTCTCAAAACTATGATTTCTTCACTCATTTATTTGAAATTTTATTTTATCTCATGTTGTTTTTTAGCTGCCTTAAATTCTTATTTGGGACAGAAGATGGTGTAAAACAAATTAATAAATTAAGCATTTTTCAAGAGCCAAAGCCTTCTCAGAAGGTACTCACTTTTCTTCTTCATCACACAGGCCCACATTGCCACGGTCAGGCTAGACTGACGGTGGCCACCACCAGGCTGACACTGTACAATCGAGTTGTCTTGTACCATTAGCGAGTCCCTGGGAGTTCAAAGATCAAAGATATTTTGGCTCCACTTATTTTTTGACCCTGATGATCTTCTGATTTTATCCAAACATTTGAATCAGAAATATGTCAACATGAATAAATTTTCATTAAGAAAGTATTTTCTAGAGTTAATTCCAGTAAGACAATTCCTTGATTAATTTTCCACATATCTTAGATAAACTCTTCCCCAATTTTTGCATTTTCATTATTATTTTACTAAAATTATCACACCTTTTTACAATTCTTTTCTATATAAATTTTATAGCAAAGACTCGATATGCCAATCAATTTTTTGGTCCAATTATCTTTCAAAGGCTTCTGTGGTCACAACATCTATCAAGTGCAATTTGTCCAGATCAGTTTTGAAGGTGTAAATTTTATTAAGAAGATTGGATTCATCTGTCAATCTTTACTCAATAACAAGTTTTACAATGCACAGTGTTAGCTACCAAGAGTTTTATCTCTTGTTGAATATTTTTACTGAGATTATTTTTTCTTGGGTCAATTTTTATGCTTTCAATTTTATGAGCCAGAACTGCTTCATCTATCATAAATTTTCATGATGAGCAGTCTGGGCTGTTTGGTGGGTTTTTTAAAAAAATGTTATTTCTACTAGTAATATTCTTTATAGATTGAATAAAAGGTAACAATCTGTTTTTCTTCCTTAGTTTTCTTTTAAAATGATGAGCAATTCCTCTTAGATAGTTTAGGGTTGTTCTATTGTGTAGGACTGGTCTGCAGTATTATGAATCTTCTGTACATATTTACTCATTCTGTGGACCATGTATTAATTGCCTACACCATTAATTTTTCTGTTACCATGTAATCTGATATAAGATAATGACTTTTGATGATGGAAAATTCCCACAAATTTCTGCATGTTCCAAATCACTTCTCTACACATTTCTTTTTAATGTGCTTCAGGGACTGCAGAATAGTTTTAAATCATGGAAGAGGACTTTCTGCTTTGTCTGTTGCTGCCAATCACTCCCCTCTGTCCTTACTCTCACGCTTTTGTGAGACCATCTTTTCCTGGTTGTCCTTTAACTCCTCTGTCCCTGTACATTTCTTTTATGGCTCCAAGCTCAGAGCTCTGCCATGTCAATCTTTATCAACCCCTTAGAAGTCCTTTGGTTCTTTCGTTCATTCATTCACACACGTATTAAAAGTTTACTATGTGATATGCGTTGTGCTAGATGCTACAAAAAATATTTAAAAAATAAGACATCACCCTCAACTTCCAGAGGATTATAATCTAACGCAGGTTGAGAGACTAATAAGGTACATAAAGTGATGGGGAAAAGACAATTAGTTTAGAGATACAGTATTTCTAATTTTTGACAATTTTTGAAGAGCAGAGGAACAATGCTAATTGGAAGTTATTTCTTCTCCTTCTTCCCATGTTTTCACAATCTCTCCCTCTGTACTGGCTACTTCTCCCCATCAATAAACATGATAAGGTCTGTCCTATTTCCTATTTCATTAAAATGACTCCCTTGACCCTAACCTGCATTTTCCACTCACACTTAAATTTAGTCCTTTTCTTAATCAAAGTTTTTCTTGCAAAGGTATCCATTTCCTCCCATTTATTCCTCAACAGACTACGGTTCACTCTTCAAACCATTGCTTCCTATACTTGACTGCAAGCACCTCAAGGAAACTTTATGTCAATTTCTTAGCTCTCAAATTCAATGATTACTCTTTGACACTTACAGCGTTTGGCCTCCTGCCTGTGTCTGCTATTGCTGATCACTCCACTCCATCCTTCTCTACTCCCCTGGCTTTTGAAAGACAACTTTCCCCTGGTTTTCCTTTTACCCTTCTGTTCTCTCTCTCTCTGTTTTTTTCATGAGCTCTTCTTAAACGCTACTGGTCTGCAGGATTCTGCTTCACTCTACATAACCTTTCGGCATGCTTTTGTCTACAACCATTATAACCATCACCCATTGTTCAGAATAATTCTAACTTAATATATCTAACCTTTTTGTTTTTGAGGAAGATTGGCCCTGAGCTAACATCTGTGCCCATCTTCCTCTATGTTTTTTTTATATGTGGGACGTTTGCCACAGCATGGCTTGACAAGCAGTGTGTACGCCCGCTGTATGTAATTTGCATTCATCAAGGTTCACTCTTTGTACTATAAAGTTCTGACATAACTGAATAGATTTTTTTGTTATTTTACAATAACAACCTAATGATAAGAAAATTGTTTGACACAAGCTGTATAGAATAGTTAACCTAATGCCAAAGTTATTTTTAAATTCAAAAAAAAACAAAACTCAACATTAGTTCTTCAGGACACTTTAAACATGCTATTAGTTATCCTCATAGCTGACTGCTCATCAGTTCATAGAAGAGCTATATTTTGACAATAAGGTTGAATGAGATCTTTACTAGAGTCATAAAACAAAGCCTTTGGCCCAAGACCTTCACTGATTTATTAAACATTAACTGAATGCTACCTGCATGCCAGGCAGAGTGCTTGGCACTGAAGATGCCAATGTTAATGAGATCTGATCATTGCAGGACTGTATATTGAGTGTATTGGTAGAGATGTGCAGAGGGTAATATGAAAGCAGAGTGAAGACACCTAAACCACCCGTCGGGCTGGGATGGGGTTGGGGGTGGCTGAACTGCAGTTTAAAGGATGAGTTACCCAGGGGGAGGCAGAGAATGTAAAAGAACCTTTCAGGTAGAGAAGATAGACTAAAGTCACCAGAGGGTTTGGGTAGCATGATGTGTATAGGAAACTTCTAGAAGATGTGTGTTGTTAGAGTTAGAAATGGAAGGCAGGTTTTGGTGAAAAAATAAGGCTAGAGAAATAGGCAAGGACCAGATAATGGAGAGCTACAGTAAGCCACAGTAAGGAACTTCAAGTTTATCCTGTGGTTAATGGGGAGCTACTGAAGGTGGAAAGCAGAGGACTGACACAGTCAGATTTGTGTTTTAGAGAGCTCACTTTGGCAGCTGTGAAGAAGGGACATGAAGGGGACTTGACTGGAGATGGGGTGATCTGCAAGAAGATGTTTGCTCAGGTAACAAGGAAGAAGACGTAACTGAGCAGTCACAGAAAGGATAGAAGATATTTGAGGAATGTTTAGGAGGTAGGATTGGCAGGATCTAGATTGTGACTTTATTAATAATAAAAGAATGAAAAAAGGCAATGATTAAAAAGAACTAAGGCTAAAACAACAATAACATTTTATAGTTAAAGTAATCCTTTGGGGCCAGCCCCATGGCCGAGTGGTTAAGTTCAAGCGCTCTGCTTCAGGGGCCCAGGGTTTCGCTGGTTCAGATCCTGGGCGTGGACATGGCACCACTCATCAGGCCATGTTGAGGTGACGTCCCACATGCCACAATTAGAAGTACCCACAACTAAAACATGCAACTGTGTACTGGAGAGATTTGGGGAGAAAAAGCAAAAAAAAAAAAAAAAGGTAATCCTTTGTTCTAAAAATTATTTTTCCAATGTAGAGTCTGGGTAGGAAAAATGAGTTGTTCAAATTCCTATAAAGACTGCAAAAAACAAAACACCTCCATTGATTAGAAGGAAAACTATAGGAAATTTGCTGTAATTAGACCACAGGTTCAGAACAAGAATTTCCTCTAATTGGATTTGTCAGAGTGTTCCCGCAGGTACTGATTTAATTCAATTCAATACACATTTATTGAACATCTGCTATATGAAAGGCCCTTAGTTTAACACTGGGTAGTGGATAAAAAGCACTAAACTAAAGAGGTTAGCATCCAGAAGAGCATAAAAACATAACACAAATAGTCAAATACAAGGCAGGATGTAAGTGAGAATGCGGGACAGAGGGAGAGGTCATTCCAAATAAAGGTACTACAACACTGGGAACATGAAAGGCATTTGTAAGGACTGAGGAGGAGGCTACTTTGGGTGGAGCATATGTTGGGGCATTTACGGGCCCCTGGTATGAAAAGGAGTGTAGGGCCCTAGGGATACAGCATGACCAGAGCCACACTTCGACATCAGTAATAAGACCAGAGCCTGAACAATGGATGGGAGGGCAGTGAGGGGACCACTACAATAACCTGGGCAGGCAACGGGGTCAGAACCATGGCTAGTGAGAATAAAGAGGAGGGACCACAAAGATACGTGGCTTTCAATCTCCAGACTGCATTTTGTGAGAGTGTACATAATTCATTGACTATGGTAGCAGTAGATGGTCCTAATGATCAAGACTGCCTCACACACACTGTCCTGAAGCGTGTGCTGGCACTTGAGGGAAGATACTGATGCAAAAGGATGCCTCTTCAATTTGCTTGATATGATGCAAATCAACTTACGTGCCTTCCTTCCCTTCCTCCCATTCTATAAAGCTTTTATTTTTTCCCAATTATAAAAGTAGTACATATTCATCATAAAATCAGGGATATATATAAAATAAAAATCCCCATAGTTGCATAATCCAGAGGTAATCACTATCATAATTTTGCTCTATTTCCCTCCCTTATTATTTTTTTATGCATGAGGCATTGGGAAATAGTGCAATTGGTTGGTTAGGGAATACTGTATTAGATATGTGTACTCGTATAGGTTATCCCTTATACTATAAATATGAAACCAGCACTGTATGTAGAAAAAGTGGTTCATATACCAGTTGTTTGCTTCTCTGAATGGCTGGGCTCCACTTCTGAGAAGCTCTTTCGTATACACTTCATGGTAGCGAACTGTGTCACAATATATTTTAATTTTTTGATTGAAATATATAGCACAAAATGTAAAGGCTTATCTTAACAAGAGAAAATAACGGTGATAAGAATGTATATAAGAAGCACTCTAACTCTGAAATACCTTATTCCTAATTGTTTTATAATGGATTTGTTAATAGTGTGAAGTTTCTTAGGCATAAAACTATCAGGCTGCAGCAGAACAGATTGTATATACTTTATGTTGACAAAAATTGCATATATTTACCAAACTGGAATAAACACAGACACATATACTTGTATCCTGCTTTTTCTCTGAGTATAAAATAACTAAACATTTAAAATGTTCTTTAATGTATGATCATTTCAATCTACCTAAAATTTAGCAATTCTTAAGAACCATGTCAACTTTTGCCTCCACTGTAAGCATTTAATGATAGCCCACTTATTATTTCTCACCTGGATTATAGTAATAGATCCTCTGAATTGCTTAACCAGTCTCTAGTCTGCTCTCTTTCCAAATCATGTTGCTGAAATGATTTCTTTCAAACACAGCACCGATCATGTCATGCCTCAAGTCAAGAGACCTTCAACAGTTCCCCAACGGCTACATGATAAAGTGCATACTTCTTGGTCCGGTTTCACTAGTCCAGTGCCCCCCACCCCCATATACCCTACATTCCCATCAAACTCAACCTTCACTTCAACTCACCCCTGACTGGGATTATATTACTGCATGTTCCTTTCTATCTCAGTGGCAGTTATTTGCATACACGTCTTTCCTCTGGATGAGGTTATAAAATCTTTGAAGCCAAGACTTGCAATTTCAGTTCAGTGCAATTAAATGTACATCAGAGTCACTGCAGACCAACTCTATTCCAGACACCATGCAAAGTGTTAAGAGTAGAGATGAAGGAGACACAATCCTCACCCTCAGGGATCTCACAGGCCAGAGGGGAAGATAACACGAATAAATATCCGGATTCAAGGCACCACATGAAACTGCAGGAACACACGAGATACCGTGGCAGCACAGAGGAGGGGACGGGCTCTACCTGTGCAGGCCGGGCTGTGGGTAGGTAATTTCTAAAGGGACAGGAGAATGCCAGCCTGCAGAGAGGAAGCACGGCTTGGTCTATTCAGGCAATTTTAGAAAGGTGGGTGTTTCTATATTGGGGGAGAGATCACAAAAGATTTGCCTTTAAAGGTAGGAGGGTAAACACCATTAACAGCCTTGTAAAATATGACAGGAGGGTTAAAAACCAAATGCGCTCTAACATCTCTTCCCAGGCTGTCTTTGGTTATTCTTCTAAATAATATTACTCTGAAGTCCTCCAAGTATAATCTTGTCTCTCTCCCATTAGAATATAAACTTTGGGAAGGCAGAATTCATCTATGCACTCCCTGAATGCCTCAAAACCCTCAGGATGGCATCGAACACACAGTGAAAGTTTTATCAATCTTTTAAATTCATAATCCACCCTCATCCTGATAGTTGTATGCTCGGTGCTTAAAGGGAATTCAAAACATCTGTTAGAAGAATTAACCAATGCTGAGTCAAGACAAAAACTGAAAGTACCAGCAGATTTTGCAGACATGTTCTGGATTAGTGATTTTGCCTCTAGAACAATTTTACTTGTGGTTAAAAAAGCAATTTAATGCAATTGTTTCAAAATGTCATATTTTAGCATATTTATGGTTGTCAATAACTGGGTAATCAACAGTAAAATAACAAGTATGGATTTTCAACTATGATAATTGGATTTGCCTCTCAGAATTGCTTGTATGTAATGATCATTAATCAATAGATGACATTCCCTGCACACTAGCTAGCCTTGTCTCTCTTCTGCTGGACAGGACAGTAATCTGTGGCCCAAAATGGCATTTTCTCTCTAGGGAGTGAGTGTGGCATGATGACCAATACTAGCTGAGCCAAAGAAATGGAGGTGAATGAGGAGTGAAGTTGGAAAAGTTAGCATCGTACTCTATCAAAGTTACAGCAAACTGGAGCAACAGTACCTTGTTTTTATTCGGGGGAGGAAACAAGAGATGTATGTGAGTGTGATTGTATGAATATGTCTGTTTGAATTGGGGAAGCAATAGGAGAAAAGGAGAGATTCTTTCATAGGATAAAGTCCAAGGAGAAAAAGAAAAAGTGAGTCTCCCCCTCACTGAAAAAAAGAAAAGAAAAAAAATAAAGACTATAACTACTAAAGGAAATACAGATAGGTGTAAATACAGGTATAAACACCCCAAAAAAAGAGACTGCAAAGAGGCTGACAGAACATATGTGGCGAAGTCACAGGCCACAGAAAAAAGAATTATGTAAAAGAGACAGTGAAGAAAACGAAGTGGAAAGTCATAACAGGGACATATTCACATCAAACACTCAGAAGTTTCTCTGCAGGATTCCTTGACTGCTGATTCTTTTCCTGGGATGCTACCCCAAGCTGCCATGTGCATTCTTCCTATTTAGTGGTGATGGGGGCAATGACATATATGTCTCCTGTTGTTAATTCCAACCCTGAAATGTCATTGCCATAATTTCACTTTTTCAGTTCTAGGGGAACAGGTACCGGCCAACAGTCTGGCTGTCAACATCATTTTCCCTGGAGGTGACAGGAACCAATAAAGTCACCAAAGGGACAGTCAATCCAACACAGCAGGGATAAAGCACATGCAGTCCAAGAAACACTACCTATTCTAAGTGACTGTGTCTGCAGAGAGTGGTGATTATTGAAATATTATTATCTAATAAAAACTCAGATCCCAGAAGTCAATTGATCCTTCCAGAGACCCAAAAACGATCTTACATTTAATTTATATTTCTTGTCCTCTCATTTTGGAGACCTATCCCCTTCTGGCCTACATTTAAAAAAGCAGTCCTCTTACATCAGTCTGGGTATGTCACTGACAGCCACTGTCCCATCATGGGTCTCGCTCTCTCCATCTTCTTCCTCTTCGTCACTACTTTCCGACTCCTCGCTGGAAGAGGAGTAATCAGTCACCTTCTTCAGCGGGCGGTTTGTTTCTTCAATCCGGAGTTCTCTTAATTCTTTGGCTAATGCCGTCAGATCCTACAAAAGAAAAGTTTGCTCAGCGTATATGAATTGTAGATATGACCAAAGCTACATCTCTCAGCAAGTCAGTGCTCTAGCTTAAGCAACAAGGAAAAAAAGCTCTATATAGAACTGTTACAAACATAGTTACTGCATGGAACTAAGAAAACGATGTTTGTAGCACAGAGAAACTAGAAAAGAAAGATGTAATAAATTTAAACTTTGTTCAAAACCAATTGCTAGATGAGACTGTTCAGTTCTGAATATATATATATGTATATGTGCGTTGCATGTGTACACACATACACAAACAGTGGGTTCTCATTTTATTTTGGGGAGGTGAAGCTGGTCACCCTCAGAGTTAATGGGAAAATACATGGGATTAGAAATTCTTCCCCACTGCCCAAGCCACAGTCATGGCCTTTTCCCTCTTATGATTGCTGCTGTACCAAAATCTAGCATCAGTCAGAGAACAGAGCAATTCCCAAGGTTCCAGCTACTACAATGACTCATTTGGTGTGTCATCATTCCCTAAAGAGCAGAGGTAACATATCAAATAATGGCCCATCCCAAAGCCCAGTGTCACTGAAATTTATAGCCACAGAGCTGAGCTAAGAGGAACAAAAAAAAAAAACAACAGAGTTCTCTTCCAGAATGATGGGTGTTTCATTCCTTTTGTTTTAAATTGGAGTCACCTGGCAAAAACTCTGGCGAAGCAAACTGTAATGAATGTACAAACACCAAAAGGAAGAGAGAATTTTTCAGTTTTCCATGAGTATGATGAAACCTGTAGCCTTATGGATATGTGATGATGTGATATTTAATCACCAGGCATACTGCAGGCAGTGTGCTGAATATCTGACTGCCTTTTATTTCACATGCTTTCAGAGCAATGCAGAGGGAAGCAGTTCTGCAAAAGCATGGCCGCTCTAATTTGCATGGGTAAACTGCCCATGGCACACAGCATGCAAATGATGAAGAAGCAATTTGACATCAGTCTTACCATTTCTCCCTATATTAGTGACCCATGTGGGAATCAGAGCATTCAGTGAGAGACAGGGCATTAGGGAGAAAGAAACTCATTGAAAGATACTAAATGCCACAGTTTTCTTATGGCCATATTCTCTCTTTATTTCAACCCAGAAACATATTTGTCTAATTCACCTGATGTAGGATTAAAGCAATGTAGGTGATTTGAATAACATTTGATAATCTATCCTAATTGGTTAGAAGAAAAACTGTGATAAATGAATATAATTAAATTATAATTATTTTATTTTGAGAAGATAAATTGTCATGTTTCTTTACTGTCACCTATATGTCAGGCATTACCATGTTGGTTAAGACTAGGAGAGGAAACATTTCAGGTGTTTTATTTGGTCTAGAAATTTACGAAATTCAAGGTGTAAGTGAAGGAGTCATTCCTCTCTAATTTCATGGAAATCAAAGGGAAACAATAATGACTTTTAAATTTGTTTTGAAGTTACTTGAATGGAATCCCTTGGAAAGGGAAGTTTTTGAAAATTCAAATTGTGCATTTTCCGCCCAAACCCACTTTCTGGGCTTTCCACATGTACACACGTGCACACACACATGGCTTCAATCTCAGTAGATATACTTGCCCCATCCGTGAAAATGAAAATAGAATTGTATTAAAAAGACTCAAAGGTGTTTAAATATAATGTATACCTTTAAAGAAAAGGAAAATTACTAGATAGAATTTTATGCACATTTATTTCTGATTTCTTTTGCAATGGGCCAAAATAGGAAAAGCTAATATTCAGATTTCAGCTTTTTACTTCTTATTTCCTCTTGACAATGTTTATCTTTATCAAATTGAGAAGAAAGTGAAGCGTATGCTATACTTGAGCATGTTGGGAAAATACAGTCTAGATATTTGTTAAGGCTATAATGTAAAATGATATTATAATCTTCCAAAGCAGTAAAATAATAACAAATTAGAAAATTTATTTTATATTTTGTCTTCTATATGTTAGAAACAAGTTAAGTCTCATCAAAGAATATAACTAGCATTTAAAATGTTACTTGTCATTAAAAAATACATTTTATTATAATTTAAAGAGAGAATATGGTTTAAAAGAGTTTATTTCTAATGTCAATAATTCTGAGTAAAATATAATATTAGCTATGATTTATTTAAATTAATAATACATTTTCCCCAAGGTTGGTTTTCCTTATCTCTGACATTTCAAAACAAGACAAAGGAAATTTTAAAAAAATGAAAACTATTTAGAAATATTTAGCTGGTCCAAAGCCCATTGATTTAAAGAAACTCTCACTTATTAAAATGACCTAAATTTTTCCAAACACTGTATTTAGGAACACTTTAAAGTTCTGACCTGTTTTATATTTTGCTTTTAATTAGAATTTTTTCTGCTTATGCATTATTAAAAAGCTATCTTTCCTGAAACATTGGAAAGAATTGAAAATTCCATTTAAGTTTAATAGGTAATAGCTTGGAGGGTGAGACATATATGAAAATCCCAAGGTAACAACAATGTGTAACTCAAAAGTAATACCCCCAGTCAAAGAAATTAATCTTCCATTGCCAGTAGACTACATGTTTAGCTGAAGTTTTGTTCCTTATCCATCCACTCTGGAAAAATTTATAATAGCAAAGTTATAGGACATAGACACGATCTAAAATTGACACCATTGGGTTCAGATCCATTTTCATACATTTTATTTTCTGACAATACCAATTTTCTCCATATAATGAGTTTTTGTAGTAATTAATTGCTTGGCTGTCTCAAGCCTGGAGCTAAAAAAGTATTAAAAAAAGGGGGAAAAAGTGCTATTTAGCATGAAAATATTTGAGAAAAAAGAAATATGGCAAACAGTGAGATTTTTTGACTATGGAGTAAATGTGAAGATAGTTAAGAGGCCCTTACCTAGTAGTTTCTTCGATGTAACACTTTTTAGAATCAACTTGATACAATTTTTCATTCAAAAAAACTTATTTACTGTGACAGTTATGAATATTTTACCTAAAAGGGTACTCTTTTAAGTCTCTTTTTAGAAACAACATAGTTTATTCAAATTTTAGTTCAATTTTAACTATTAAAATAATAGTTAAATATTTTTAAGCTGGTCTTTTCTTCACATATTAAAAATTTATTTCTTCTTAGGAAATCTAAAGATATGACATTGGGGAAGCCACTTAACTTCAGTATCCTCATCTAGTTACTGCTCAGCTTCTGTCCAAACTATGAATGTGCTCTGGAAGTGCTCAGATTTCTACAAACTAACAAAAAAATAATGGTAGAGCCAGTGTTTGCTTATGTATATAACCTTCATGCCATGTATTTAATTGTGCTAAAGTAAAAAGAATATTTATTTTCAAAGCTTGTATGAAATAACCACAGACTATACTGTACAATTTCATATGCCATTAGAAAGTTATGCCAAATTAACGGATACTCCCCCAGTTCGATTTTTATGAACATTCAAACCATTAAATAAGTTAATCATTAAGTAAGCAACAAGTTTTCAAAAGGAGTTTTAAGACTTTCCATTTCAATCCTGGGTTATCTAAATGGCAAATCAGTCACTGGAGACAGAAGTCATATCAAAACCTAGGAATGAAGATGGGGAAAGATTTTTTTCAAGGTTTCCCAACTGTGGCACTGTTGACATTTGGGGCCAGATAACTTTCTATTGTGGGTTGTTCTCCTGTGCACTGTAGGATGTTTAGCAGCATCTCTCTGCTCTACCCACAAGATGCCAATAGCACTGCCTCCCACCTCCAAGATGTGACAACCAAAACTATCTCCGGACTTTGCCAAATGTCTCCTCAGGGGAGGGTAAGGAACAAAAGGCATCATCCCCGGGTGGGAACCACTGGGTTAGGGAGAACCAAGTGATCCTGTATTTTCAGTGATTCGGATGTGATAGTCAAGGGGTGGGGTTATCAGAATCACCTGGAGGGCTTTTTCCAACCACACATGGCCCCAGAGATTTTGGGTACAGCTCACACTCCCTCAATTACTTATAATTACTTATACTTCTGTGGGGCCCTCTCATCTCTGTCCAGAGTGCTAGAGTATACCAAAATGAATAAAGCAAATTTTAAAAGCCTAAAATATCCCGGGTTAACCAGATGAAACCCATGAGAACCCTTTCCCTCATGACAGCCCCCTCTAGGACAATTTCTGGACTCATGAGATTTCCGTTCAATTGTGCGCACACACAGCCATTTTGTTGGTAGCCATAGCACGAGAATACTGTCCTCTTTCTTCATCTGTTTGGGAGAAAACTGATAAAAGCCCTGTCCTTCTTACTGTTATAAGGGAAAGTGGCAAGGCTGTGGCACAGAGCAATAAAATACATTCCCCTTTTCCTTTCTAAACATGCCATCCACACTCTGTGGACATGTACAGTCTCGTTCTTTTATAAGCAATAATCCTTTAATTATGATAATAACTTTCCAAACCACTCTGAATGGGGGAGGCAGTAAAAATTCTGAAAAAGTGAGGCTTTTTGGTAAAAATCAGATGCAGAGAAACATGCTTCTCCCACCTGCCAAAATAGCTCCATGCCTCGGGCCCAAACCTTAAGATAAGGACAAACCTCTCGGCTTTCTGCAGCACCACAGTTGATGAAATGCTCTCAGGCATGTGATCTTGAGTGATCCTAAACAAACTCGTGAGCACAGCAGGGCAGGTGTTTTTATCCCATTTTACAGATGAGGAAACTGTGGCCCAGAGAGGTTATGAGACTGCTCCCAGCCAGTTATTTACCGGGGAGCCAGAATTTGAATGCAGCTTGTCGATCCCAGAGCCAGTGCTTTTTCCATATTATTTCACAAAAATGGTGCTCAGCAGAGCTACAGCCTTAAAGCCATACTGGTAGTCTTCAGATTCCATGCAGTTAGGACTCTTTGCAAGACCCGTCTCTTAAAAAAACTCCACTATGCTGTGTTCATGCAGGTCTGACAAACGGCAGTAAGGCAGTAATCCTTCTTGGCAAGCTACCTAAGACTGACAAAGCCATATATTTTTCTAATGGAAAAATGTCTCCACAGATAAGGAAATAAAGTCTCTTAACTCGCCAGGATTCATTAACTAGAGTTGATGTTGCTGCTGATGCTGTAGTTAATGTCCCACAAAATTAATCTAACAATACCCAGTAACTCTTTGTTCACCAATCACACACTATAAATTTGGAGTGCCCTAGAATGATGTCTCTTTTCTTTGTGAGTAAAACCACCATCCCCTAGCAAGGCTGGTGAGCACAGATTAAGAGCTCAGGCTTTGCTACTCAAAGATACTAGAGTGAGAAACCGTGCCAATAACAAAGCACTAATGCTTATCTTTAGCCAGAATGGACCATTGGAAAAGTGACATTTTGGCTTAGAAGGAAGGTTTCTGGAGGTTTATATGGGTGTCTGAGGGTCTTAGGCTGGCTTCTGTTGGAGGGGTTCTCCTCCCAGCAGATCACTCCAAATGAGTGAACCTTAAGCCTGCAATCCAACTGGCCACCTTTCTGGACATCGACATCAGGAAATCAGTTGTATATTTACATTTGGTGAAAGCATGACCAAGAAAAGATAATACTAACCTCATCTATAGCTTTCTTATAGCTCTGAGATAAGAAGAACCCAATCCAGAAGAATCCACAGGAGGAGGAAAAGCCAGAAGAAAGGCAGCAGGTTAGACACAAAATGGGAATTAGTACACAACTGATCAACGCAAAAGGGCAAAGAACCTCAACCCAGAATGGGGCAAAGTCCCTTCATTATTATTCTCACTGGACTTCCTTACTTTCAAATGTAAAAACCAGAGTAAACCAAAAATTCTTCACACTCATTTCATAGGAAAAATTCTTGGAAAATTTAAATAAAATAAGCGGATATTAGCTCATCCTAAATTAATTTCCAACTTTCCAATTTCAGCCTCCATGCTCTTTATTTCTTTCTTTATGGCTATTTGGGGTCTCTTGTGTCACAGCAATGAAGCTATATTTCAAATTGTCAGCCCCCCTGTCAGACCATGCTTAGCAACTTTCGGTCCAGAAAATATAGACCTAGAAGCATGAAAAGCAGCAGAAAATTGTAATATTAATTCATATAGAAAATAGTATGGGGAAAGGGCAGAATAGATAAGAGAAACCCAAATCTCTTTAAGTGCTAGTTTCAACATCTTTTTGCCAAAGCTGCTGAACAGAAATTATGGAATGATATGAGTTATTTCTCTTCCTGTTTTATTCTCTAAAGTAGTGCTAACGATCAGCAAAAACACCTAAAGGCAGCTAGATAAGCAATCCAAGATCTGTTCAGTTCTTTCCTAATCAGATATGACTTCCTTATGGATGCTTCTATCATCTGTTCTTCTTATTAATCTCAACAATTTTTGTTTCATAGTCATGAGTGTATCCCCAACTACTTTATCCTGCAGGTTCTCCGGCAAATGAAGAGTTCAAAAGTCTCAGAGAGAAAAAGCACTCACAGCTGGTCGACTAGGTCGGGTAATGTCCCTGGACTCTTCTGGCTTCACCTTAGAAGGCTCATGTGGGAGCACAGGTGATCCTTCCGACTTACTGTTGGCTAGAGGAAAAAGCAGAGGGCCAAGAAAGGTAATGACCGTTAAAAAGTGTCGCTCAAGTTCGGAGTTCTGTGGTAAGTCATCGCTTAAGATTATTCAGGGGACACATCCTTCACTTAGGAAAATCCTCAAGCACCTCAGTGAAAAAATAGTAAATGAGGCTTGTAACCTGGAAACCACTAGTAATAATAAGAAAAACCAACAAACACCACCACTACCACCAGCACCATTTACTGAGCATCCATTGTGTGTCAGGCTTAGCGCTAAAGGCTTTCTATGTCAATTGTCTCATTTAATCCTCGCTCCAACCCAACGACGTGGCACTACTTTCCTATTTTACAGCTGAACACAGACTTAGAAAGATAACACAACTGGCCCAAGGTCACGCGGAAATGATGGGCAGAGCTGGGCTTCTGTCTGGTTTCTCAAAGTGTATTCTCAATTATTACGCTAAACCAGTTTCTAAGTTAAGATTCTATTTTTGGTTTCTTCTGTTACCATTTACCCATCAGGATAAGTTATTTTGATGGAATTTTGTGGGAAAAAAATATTTGGTGGAATGGTTTTTAAATGGGGAGGGAGTTGTCTGGGTCATTTAAGGAAGAAAGAATGAGGGGGTGGGCAGAAAGGAGAACATTGGCGATAAAGGGGAAGGACTCCGGAATAGAGGTGCAGAGCAAGGGTGGGGGAGGGCTTCCTGACAGCTACAGAGTGAAGAGCATCCCGTGGATGTAGGAGCTTATAGGTAGAGAAGAAGCAATCTAGTGTGGGAGAGCTGCTTTTGTCTTGTTTTAAAGTGGTTGTTCCTGGTCAGGGATACACCAGGAATACAAGAGTGCTTTTAACCCAGAAGAATTAGGGGCCAAAGGAAAGAAGATAAGAATTAAAACTGAACAAGATCAGAGGATTAAAATAATAGGCATAAGTTTGGTTTTCTATAGCATTTGCTCTAACTAAGGATATTAAGTTGCTTATGAATAGAAAAAAGGTAAGGGAACGGCAGTTTTCTAAATTAAGCAAATTTATATTTGGATCAAGGCAACAAAAAGTATACATAGCTGTGGGTTGTGCCACTGATATCAGAAGAATGCATAGAGCAGCAACCAAAGGCCAGTTCACATCCCAATTCAGGGACAGGAGGATCGTGTGGCAGATGTCAACCTTTTCAAAATGGACACACTGTGATTTTGTCTAAAACCTTAGAAAGATACTAGGAGATCAACTATGATTATGTCTAATGAAGAGGCTAAGAAAAGTGTGTTAACATTTATCAAATTGCACTTTAAAAAGTCCTGGTCTTTATTACTTGGAAGCAAAACTATCTTCTGAACAAGATTATTCACAAAAGTAAATTTAGATTAGCTAGAAACAGTGTGCTATCATGTATAATTAGCTGGCTATATTCACGTTTTTCACAAGCTTCTTCATTAATGAAAACTAAACAATGAGGAATGACTTGAATTATCAGAGAAACTAATTTTTAACCTCTCAAATAGGAATAACCAGAAGAGTCAAATATATTTTTTAAGTCAAAGATTTCATTTTTTCTCTCAACTGTATATGTATTCTACATTAGCCTTTATTGAATTTCACCATGAGAAATACCTAGTATCCTGAACTATGTTCAGAATACGAAAAGGGACTATTGGCATATGGGAAGAGATCCTTAGGGGCACACGAAACCGTAACCAGCAATCAAATGGAAATGGGAATTCAGGTGACTAGTAAGTGATCACATTTTTAAATAAGACCAATATTCTGTGATCTCCCTGGAAAACACTGGTATCTGCGATTACAAGGAGTTGGTCCACACTCTGATGTGACACATATAATTGGGGATGGTAGCTCACTCCGCTAAGGAGACTGAGGCTGAGAGCAGTTAAGGGGCTCTTCAGTATCACACAGCGGTGGGCCTCATCAGGAGCAGAAGTCACGGAAGTGAGGAAGTAACCTGATTCCCTGCCCGAGGCTCTCCTCCCCAGGCAATGCTGTCAGGGATAGGTAAGGGAAAGCTGTACCTCGAACTCTGGTCCGTTCACTGGACCCTGCTTGCGATCCAGGCTGAGAGCCTCCTTGGGAGCTGGGCTGGGAGCTAGGGGTGCTGGAGCTGGAGGAACTGCCACTGCTGGTCCTCTGCAAGGGGCTCTCCAAGACGGGCTCGGTTCTCCGGAGATCAGGGTTGCTGCACGGATGGACGGCAGAGCACAGTGACTATACTCTCAAGACCTTGCCATTGGTAGACACAGCACAGTCCAGTCCCACCCCCAGTGCAAAGGGGTAAAGACAGCACTTATGTGCCCTCGAACTGAAGGGGTCAATGGAAATGACAGTCATGCCATCCTCTGTGGAGCTACTGACCAGCTACTGGATCGGCACAGGATGAACTCTTTGGGTCATCACACTAAAAGTATTAGCTCTGAAATGGTGAATATTCAAAGAAGGCCGCCTTTTAAACCCTTTTTCTTGTGCTCATTGTAAAAAACTTAAAGAATATTTAAAAATAATGAAGCAACACAGTCAACTGTATTTTACTATTTGGTATATTATCTTCTAGTCTTTTTTTTTCTTTGTTTGTATGGAAGCAGACTATACATTCAGTTTTGCAGCTTGCTTTTTTTTTTCCCTTAACACTGCAATGTAAGCAACTTCGTATGCTTCTAAAAACAATAATGGCTGCATAATCGTCCATCATATCGATGAATTAGTTTAACCATTCGTCTATTATTAGATACTAAGGTGCTTCCAATACATTGCTGTGACACAAACACTAAAATAACTATCCAAGTGCATACAATTACCCAATCACATCTCTCTTTCCTGGAACTGGAATTCTTAGGTGAAAGGGCATGAACTGGGGGGTATGTGTGCATGTTTCTATGTCAATGTATAAAGGTATTACCAGTTTTTGCTGAAGTGTATGAAATGGTCTATCTCACTGAATTCTTACCATACTTGATTATGAGTAGTTTGCTAATTTGTAAAAAATTTGTATCTTGTTGTTTTAATGCAGGTTTAAAACATTACTATTGAGGTAGAATCATTTTTACTCACGTTTATTTGCCATTTATAATTCCTCTTCTGTGAATTGCTTAATCAAGTTCTTTGCTCATATAGCTAGTAGTGTATTTGCATTTTTAAATATCTTGCAGGAAGTCTTTATATACTTTGGCTATTATCAAAGGGAGGTATGTTTTAAAATAATTGTTATTAAATGCTAATTCAAGAAGAAATTAGTTTATTGGCAGGCTAGTAGCCGTACTTTTTATAAAAGCTTACTGTATAATTCACTTTCATATCTTTACTGCTCCCAAAATAGTGGTATTTATTTCCTCACTCAGTTGGTCTATACTAGGCACTGGGTCAGGCATTTGAGACATGGTAATGAGCAAGACACAGCCCGTGCCCTCTGCCAGCTTAGCCAGACACACACAACCAATATCACTCATGCTTTGCCTGCACTAACCACAGGGCCACATAGGAGCAGGGAGCAGGGCCACCTAGGTCCCTTCCGGTGATCATGGAAGCTGTACCAGAAGAGAAGACACCTAGGCAGTGGTGGTGGGGACGACTGCTGAGGTTTTCATGATTGCATTATTATAAAAATAACAGTCTTCTCAAAGTTCCTACAAAGCTCTTTCTTTTTAATTTATAACCTTTTCCTTTAGATTTATATAATGCTAGGCATGGATAATTCAGTAAGACCTGAAACTCAAGCTCAAATGCCATTCAGCTGCTAAGGGGAGCAACATCGGCCCCCTCCATGTTTCAATGTCTTCAGTTTTGCAAACAGCAATTCACATCTTTGCTAAGAGTCACCGCAGTGCTATGATTTTAATGCAGTGAGATATCATACCAAAATGTAATCTTATGTCTCACTTTGCTCTGCCCATTTCAAGACTATCAAGTGCAGACCTGGCACTCTGCACGGTGTTGGGTGTCAGATGTGTCATATATAAATATGAAAATAATATGGCCCCTTCCCTCAAGACACTTGCAGTTTAGTCTACCAGAAACCTGGTCATGAAATGACATCCTTAGAGCAGCAACTAAATCGAATAATTTTTTTTTGAAAACACAAGAATCTTGCTTTGTGGTAATGTATCTGCCAAAAATATTTGGTCGAGTTAAAAATTCCTAAATTTTGGGTTACTGGAAAACATGGCTGGTGGCCCTGGAAAATATGACATGTAAAAATAAATACATCCTCATAATTTATTCATTTTGATCATATAAATGTAGAATTTATGGAAATATTTATGTTTTTATGGTAAATGGTTGTTAAGTCAACTTCACCATAAAATCGACTGCAGAAGAGATTGTTGGTACAAATTTTTAAAAACTTTTAAAATTCTTGATATTTTTAATGGCACTCCTTTGTGTAGTAACTATTTTGTGAAAGCTGTTAGCATCTACTTGATTGAAACAGATTTGGATTCATATTGGAAATACCCCTGATTTAGAGAATACATAAAATGATAAATATATCATACTTCTGAAATATCCTACATTTCAAATTTTCCATTTTTTATACAGAAACAATCCCATCTTCTTTAATTCCCAATTAATGAATTCTTCCCCATGTCCTCTTTGATTAAACAGTAGTAGTCAGGAATTATTTGTGTAAAATTAATAAACTCCAAAAATATTTTTTCTAAAAATTGTATTGCTAACCAAGTGTATTTCAGATGAAGGATGATAGGCATACTAAGATTTCTTGGTAGTTGCTCTCATTTTGTGGAATGATGACATAATGTTCTTTGTATTAAAAAAATACCTGTTCAGAGAAGGGTGGCAGTGAGCTCCGAATTGTTCATCCTGGTGGCTGTGTTGTGGTAGCAGGATCCAGCTATTTGCTCTAATATAGCACTCCTTTGATCATTTAACCAAAATCTTTCTATTAAGCACCTACTTTGTGAGACTCAGTGGACCAGTACAAGGGATGGAGGAGAGAGACAGGTCACAGGGCAGACGGTCAAGTTACAACACAGTCCTAGAGATGAGATATGTGCAGGAGAGAGAATAGCAAACAAAAATTCCGCATGCTGTGTGTGAGAGTCTAAATATCATTGGAGTTTGGGGAGCAATGAATGAAGCCTGGAGTGATCAAGGTGGCGTCAGGAAGGAGACAGGACTTGACTGGGCTTTGGAATGGTGAGCAGGAAGACTGGGGGAGTAGCCTGAGCAAAGACCCAGGGGCTGGGGTTTTCCTGGGGTTAGTTGATGTAGAGAGACATGGGGTACCAAGTCTCTGTCAGGAAATCCTGGGAGAGCTGCTCATCAGAAGCGATGGGCGGCTTATGCAGCAATGGCCTTTAAAGCCTGGCAGAGGACAGGAGCCTCCCAGGGTAGACTTATGAATGACTGGCCAGGAGAGAGGCAGGCTGACCAGGTAGGAGGTCACCTTAGATGATAAGGCTTGGGCCAGGGATGTCCTGGCATAAAAGAGGGGCATGGGCATTAGCAGAACCAGCTGGGATGAGCGTGTGTCTCCGAGGGGGCTCAGTGCCTCTTTCTGTGTGAAGCTAATTGGTTCCCATGGGCATTAAATCCCTGACCTGGGCCTCATTAGCACAAGTCCCCCCACTGGAGCTCACCAGCATGAGTGCTGATCTTCATAGGTTGCTATTTTTGCTGCTGGAGACTGAAAGAAGTATTTAGTTTCTATGTAACCACACACAGAAAGAGGAAAAACTTTAAAAAGCTTTTTCTTTCTTTTTTTTGTAAAATAAGAGCATTTTGAGAAAATGTCATACTGTTCACATTTTTCTCTTCCTTATTATGTAGTAATATGGTCTGGCCTTGGGGCCAAGGGTTCTGAGATAAATGTTCTCAGAGGGGATCAATTTCAGAAGAATTCCATGAAATAATAGATTCCCCTTGTTCACATACTAACTGAGCCTACTCAGATCCAAACGAGTAAAAACTGGAAAACATTCATACAGATTTCTTTAAATGCTAACTTTTAGTTCAGACATTTGCCATCCCACAGACAATGCTGTCTGGTCTATGAAACACACAGTAAAGTGAAAATGTGGCAATTATTCCATTTACTTGAATCATATAAAAAGTCAAAACAGAAAATTAGGATTACAAAGTGATTTCTTGGCCCAAATACTTGGGACAATTCTATAATTAACTGGCTGACTGCCAAAATTCACTTTAGTTTGTTACTTGATGACACAACCAATGAGCACAAATGAGGCATAAGAAGATACATTTGGGATGGGACAGAGAATTATTTTTTGAAATTAAGCATTTAGTCATTGGGTTTTGACTGGGTGTTTCTGGCTTAATTTAAGTCTTTTCACATTCTGAATGTACTTGTTTGATGAAATTTTAATTTGCTTTAAAAGAACACATGAATCACAGTTAAACATTAAAAGTGCTTGGAATTTTTTAAAACAGTATTTAAAAAAATGAACAAGTCAAATCTTGATTTGAACTCAACTGGTCATCTTGACAACACAAAGCATTTTAGAGTCCACATTGGAACTGAGAACCGCCCATTGATCTTGCAGTCTGAGCAATGCCCAGCTGCACATACCTGAGAAGGAAGGGCAGGGCAGGGTTGCATGGGGTCATGGGGACTGTGTTATCACCTGACTTTAGCCGTCTAGGAAGGGGACTGTAAAAAGCACATGATGATACTTGTTCTAGCTTGAGTAGGGAAGTTTTGGGGATACAAATAGGTCCCATGGGACAACAACCCTTAAAAGGTAGTGAATATCGCAAGATGAGGATCAATAACCATAAGATTAAGAGGAGCTGTTAACACTCACTAAACTACATGGTGAGAAAGGTGGAGGCAACTGGTGCTGTGTCAGTCAATGAATCATGAGATCCCTTTCCTTTGGGAAAACGAGGCAGCAATGACAGCTGCATTCACTGCTGAACAGATCAGCAGAGCTGATGCTTAAGAGTAAGGACTTTGGTGCAAGGCTACCAGGTTTCCAATGTTGGCTCTTTCACTTACTAATTTTGTCACCTTGGGTAATTTACTTAACTTGTGTTTCAGTTTCCCCATCTATAAAATGGAGGTGATTATAGTCACTACCTCATAGAGTTGTTATATGGTTTAAATTAGGTAACATCTGTAATGTGCATTGAACAGTACCTTGCATATGCAGGTGTTCCAGAAGTGTTCAATGAATAAAGAAATAAATAATAAATCACCGCAAACCA